ATCCAACTTGGGCATACCAGTTGGAGTTTTAATGGTGTGGGTAGTGTTGTGGTTGTGATTACCTAGAGTTCTAGAACTAATTGACTTTTTGATTGCAAGTACCCAAGGCATTGTGTGAAAAAGAACAGCCAGAACTGAGAAGGTACCATCCAAGGCAAGGTAAGACACTGAATGACTTGATCAAACAAATTGCTTTTATTCATTTCAGTCGATATATATACTCTTAATAATAATAATACCAGCTTTTAAATTATGTAATGGGTAGCCAAAACTATTTGTGCTGATATACATCACCTCAGACATTAGATTATTATCTAATCTCCCTGGTGTCCTAACAGTCTTCATTCACCTGTGAGCTTCAGTAGCTTAAAAGTGCACAAAAACTTTTGGAACATGCTAGATATTTGTGCTTAGAGCAGGTTCTCCACCCCTGTCCTAGAGTATGCATTCTTGTTACAAATGCAAGATGGAATCATTCATTTCAAAAATGTTTCTGTAACAACTAAGAATATGACATTGCTGTAGCTTGTGGAGCAGGGAAATCCTATGATCTGGGAGTCAATTTCCTCATTTCTCTGAGACTCATTTTCTTTTTCTCTAAAATGAAGGGATTAGAGTAAATGGGCTATATGGGTCCTTCTAGGGCCAACATTCAGTAATTGCTATGCTAGTTTAGGAATGTTTATCTGGAAGTGGTATCCAGGATAGTTTAGAAGTGAATGAGCCTGTAGTTAAGGAGAAGAGGTTACAGAGTCATTACCAGAATCCAAGCAGGCATGGTATGATGTGGAGGATCTGAATGAGGATAGTGAGAAGGGGAATAGAGAAGAAAGGACACATACTAGAGCATTAGAATATGCCACATGGAACGAGTGGTTGATCTAAAGAGTCATCTGTGTCAGTTTTCACAGTGGGGAGGTAAGTAGCTTGGGATAGGGACCAAAGCTATGATTTCATTGCATATAGGACATTCCCAGTAGTAAGAGACTAACATCAGTATATCTGAGTGCTTTCCCTTAGTTGGTTCCCTTTCCTCCTAACCTGTACTTAGCCTCATTCTTCATACAGTACTGTGGAAGATTATAATGTCATGTGTTTTATTTCTCTCAGGACCCTTGGTATAGTAAGCTTTTAAAGTATCTTTTTTTAGTTTAGTCCAGCATTAAAGATGTGTCCCAATTTACATACCCCGCATTATATGTGACATACATTCAGTTTTAATAGCATGTTGTCATGGTGTTTTCATCTAAACAAGAGGCCAGTGTCTAGAACTGAATTCTTAAGACTGGATTAATTTCTGTTATACAGGTATTCTTTTCAGTAGAAAATTGTGGAGCATTAGCATTGTAGTGGAGAAGAGATTCATTAAACCTCAGTTCTGGTAATAAAAATCCTTTGGGGGAAGACTGTACCTAATGCTTACTGTATTTTTAACTGATGAGGTAATGTTGATATATTGAAAGGTAGAAAACTGGAAAGAAAAGCTATCTTACTAAAGAAAGCCTTCAACAAAGTCATTGAGCTTTTATTTTTTGGTAAATAAATGTACTTGTGAGGACTGAGTCCTAGGAGAGATTTAACTGATCTTGATTCATTTAAAGCGATTCAAACTCTGCTATTTGTAAACCTCTGCAAGATGAGCTTCTACTCTAGAATGCTCTGTCATTGAAGGGGAAAAGAAAATAGGAGCCAGTTTTATCACTTTGCATTGATTGAAAGATTCATCAAGATTTCTTTTAAAGTTACCAAAAAGTTTAAACACTTTCTCTTTCTTGAAACCTAGAACTGCTTCCAATGTTCAAAAGTGCTGTTATGATCCCTATTTTACAATTAAGGAAACTGAGGCTGACTGAGGTTAATTGAATTGAATTCAGGTCTTCCTGACTCCAGGCCTGACACTCTCTCCACTGGGATAGGTGACATGTGAGTCGCCACCTCACTCCATAATGCAGGCCAGGGTGGTGGCGCAATGCATCATTTACCACCAAAGTACCCAAAGGTAGCACTGTGACAATGTAGAAAGCCAGACAAGTGTGCGACTTTGAGGTAGCCCCATGGCTAAAGCAGACGTTACCTGCCACCCAGGGCTATCATGAGGATAAATGAAATATCTGTAAAGCACTTTGCACAGTACCTGGCACATAGTACGTGCTTATAAATGCTTGTGAAATAGTTTTTCATTTAAGTAGGCGACATAATCTGCCTTGTTGAGGTGCTGCCTGGAGTCAGAAAGACCTGAGATCAAATCCAGACTCAGACACTTCTCTCTTTGCCTCAGTTCTCCCAACTGTAAATGGGGATAATAGTAGCATCTACCTCTCAAGGTTGTAGTGAGGATCAAAGGAGACTATATTTGTAAAGCATTTATTTAGCACAGTGCCTGACAAACAGTAAGCGTTTTTAGTTCTTGTTGTTCAGTTGTTTTTCAGTCATGTCTGACTCTTTCTGACCCCATTTGGGGGTTTCTTGGCAAAAATACTACAGTGGTTTGCCATTTCTTTTTCCAGTTCATCTTACAGATGAGGAAACCAAGGCACACAGCGTAAAGTGACTTGCCCAGGATCACTCAGCTAGTCAGTATCTGGTTCCAATTTGAACTCAAGAAGATGAGTCTTCTTGACTCCAGGCCTGATAATCTATCCACTACAGCGCCACCTAGCTGCTCCTAGAAATGAGTAATCACTTAATAAATGCTTATTTCCTTTCCTTCCTTCCTTCTTTGTTGGGGTGTGGGGGTAGAACTAGGAGTTAAGTTCCTTTAACTTTTCCCAGTGAAGTTCCAAATCATTCGTATATTTATTGATGCTATTAAAATGCCCATGGGACACAAATTACATACCAGACACAGAATGGGAAAAAAAGGGATTGTAGCAGTTGAATGGGAAGAGGGCTTCAGCTACTCTCTAACACATAACCTGGAGAAACATTTATCTGGAACAGGGCTCCGGGGTAGATGAATCTTCAGGGAAAAACTGTAGATGCTTTTCATATGTGTTGTAGGAAGCCTTGAAAATAAAAAGGATGATTCTGTGCTGAAGATGAATCTTCAGTACATACCCAAGAATTAGGGCTTGCATTTTGTTTTTTCCTATTAAAAAAATAAAGTAGCACAAGGAAGAAAGGCCTCTGACTACGTACCTTCTTGATCCTCCACACCATCCAGGTTTACACCTGATTAAAGCAGCAAATTGCTCAGCTGGAACCAGCAGTCTACTCTCTTAAAAATAGCATTAAAAAGTGAGCCCAGGTACTGTTAATATGTAAGCAAGAGAATGCTTAGTATCACCCATTTCTCCTCTACATAAATCTCCAGAAGTTAAGCAGCTGGACAATCTGGAAAACAGTGTGTCTTACTGCAGGGGCTTTTCTTGTCTGAAAGGGATCATAGGAACATAGACCTAGAGCTGAAAAGGCCTTGAGCTGCCATCTGAAGCCTGGGAAGTTCAGTGGCTTTGCCAAGGCCACACATGCCCTATCCAAAGCTGGATTTGAACCCAGAACTACAAAGTTGGTGCTCTTTCCCCTGTACCCAAATCAGCACTGCAACGCAGACTTCTTAGAGTTTCTGTTAATTTTCTTAATAATCTTAATAATTCAAAGAAAGTTAAAGGAAGTACACAACTTTTGTCTTTATCCAAAGTTATAAAATGGTGAATAAGAGTATTTTGGAAAACAGTGCATTGAGAATATCTTTTTGAGTTGGGCAGATGCTGTTTTCCAGAAATTTTCACAATGAATCGTAGAGTTTCCAAGTTCAGCTCTAAAATGGAAAGAAGCAGCATTGTGAACCCCAAGGAGCTCTGGAGCCTTGGAATCAGAAAACCAAGTTCTGGTCTTGCTCTGTGACCCTGGACCTAGGCCGTCAGCACTGTAGAATGTCGAGCTTGGCCTGATTCCTCCAGTGGTCACTGCTTAACACACCCTGGGTGTGTTGCCAGCTGACCCTGACTCCAAGTATTGGTGTCAGTCTTATCCACAAGTACAGAAGTGAATTCTGTTATTCCTCCTCAGGCTGCCTCCTTTTATTCTCATTGCCTGACCTGAAGAGAAATCCAGAAATCTCGTACCAGGTAGCCAGCACTATGTCCAGAGCCACAGGGTGAGGCCTGCCCAGATGCACCTGAGGGTAGGCTTGGGTTTCTGTGGAGAGGGTAAGGTGAAAGTGGAAGCCAACGCCAAGACTCCTAAAGGCCTGCTAGCAGAGCCAGAGAAATGCCTCATGGCTCTCACGTGTAGCAGTCCTGGGAAAAGTGCTGGATTTGGTGGCAGCCGACCTGGAATCCATTCCTCGTTCTCTTTCTTCTCTTGTATGATCTTGGACAAAACAGTTCAGTTCTCTGGGTCTCAGTTTCCTCGTGTGTAAAATGAGAAGTTTGGCTCTTGAAAGTTTCATTGTAGCTGTAAGTGTGTGAGTTAGACACCTGACATTGTGGGAAACATCCTGCTTTTGCCACCCACATTCCCTTTTGTTTCTCTTGCTTCTCCACCCCCTCTCCCCCCTCCCAAATCATCGAGTTCCTGGATCCAAAGCACTTTGTCATGCCGTACACTAAGGTTCCTTCCCACTCTAAAGATCTATGATTCATCTTAGCATTCATCCTGTTACACATTGTGTGAACGTAGGTAGGTAGCGAACACTTAAGATCTTCTGGTATCTGTTAATAATGAATATGAGAAAGGGATTTTGGGGAGAAATAATAGCTGACATTTATACAGCACTTTTTAAGCTTTACAAAGTTTTTTACATACTTTTTCATCCTTGTAACATTCTGGCAAGATAAGAAACTGAGGCTCAGAGAGGTCCCATGTTCTAGATGAGAGGTTTCTGCTCACTCCCAAGCCCAGCTCAGTCCCCCCCCCCTCCAAAGCACAAAATGGAGCATGCAGGCTTTTATTTGTATTAGGTGGAGCTGACACAGTCCTCACATGATCGCAGAACTTCATAGGAAAAGGGGACAAAAGGGTCCCAGTTGATGAGGTCTCTGATTTTTCTCTCTCAGATGAAAAAGCTGGCAGCACTCACCACCTTGACATCTCTGAATGTGTATGCCATAGCTGAGGAGGAACCCTCCGCAAAGCCACTGAAGCCAACTCAGGTAAGTTGCCTGCTTTGAGGTTATTCTGTTTGTATGACAAGAAGAGTACCAAACACTAGGAGTTTTAAAAACATTCTGGCCTCGGTGAATAAGAGAAATGAATTGAAAATGTATCTATGAACTATGTAGTCCAGATTCCTCAAATCCTAACAATTTCTCTTCCTCATATTAGGTACCTACTCGGTGCTAGGCACAATCATAGATTTTTCTTTTTTTTTTTTTAATAAAATGTGCCTTCCCAAAGACATTCATTTGGATAATAAGACTGAGTATGTGCCTAGGAGAGGTTCCTACCTGCAAGGATCAGGGACGCTACTATGAAGGAGGTAGCATTAAGCTGCTGAGCCTTAAACTAGAAAAGGAAAGGAAAGGATTTTGAGAGCTTGCGAGGGCTGCGAGTCTGTCCCAGGCATGGGAGGTGGGGCACAGCTGGTACAAGAAAGTCAAGGCAGAAGAGAGGCCAGAGCAGCAGTTGAGGGAAGAGCCAACCTCCAGCTTCATACACGAAGAGGAATACCAGGTTGGAAGCAGATTGTGGAGGACCCTCAGTGCCAGACTACTGAGTAGACAGTGGGGATTGGGGAAGTGGTAGGAGCAAACCTATGCATTAGGCAAATGATTTTGGATTGGAAAGGAGAGAGACCAGAGGCAGAGCAACCAGCTAGAAAGCTGTTACAGTAATGCAGGCAGAAAACAATGAGAGCCTGAACTAATATACTAGAGGAGAAGACCAAGGCAAGAGATAACCAAGGTAGACGTGATCAAACAGAGCTGAGGCAGTGGGAAGAGTGGGGATGACTAAGGTTTTGAACCTGTGAGGTTTTGGAGATGATGGTACTCTGCACAGAAATGGAGCAGTTAGGAGGCAGAGAAAGTGATGAGGTTACTTTCAGGCATGTGGAACTGAGATATTGGAAGGATATTGGAGGGGAGGTGTCTAGTAGGCAGTTAGAAAAGCCCAGTTGGGCCTGAGGGAAGAGAAGGAAGCTGGAAATAAAGATTTTGAGTCATCTGCATAATAAAATTGTGAGGGGAGGCCGATTTTTTAAAAATCATTTTTCCTTCTGAAAAATTGTTTTTAGATTAAGTAACAATAGAGAGAGTGTCTTAGGACTTCTGGGTAGCCTGGTATAAAACATTTACAAAAATGCATCCTTTTTAAGAAGATCCCATGGGAACTTGCAAAACAGATAAGACTTCTCCATTTTATGATAAGAATTTGCTGCAGGATGCCTTTAAAAAGCATGTTTTTCAATGCATTTAAAAAACAAAAACTGATGTTCATACATTTTACTTCGACCATAGTTGATTTGGGTGTGACTTTGCAAAATATTATTTTGCACAGTGTCCCAAAAGTCTTAGAGCAATTTTAAGCCTTAATAGCTTTCATCTGCACCAAGATTTTGGGGGCACCCTGTATAAAATGAGGTCTATACCTCAATTTAAGGCTATTTATAGCAAAACCTCAATCAGAAATCTTGAGGAATGGGGTATTCTAAAGGCAACCAGGTGGCATAGTAGGTGAAGCTCTGGACCTGGAGTCAGAAAGACTTAAGTGTAAATGCAGCCTCAGACGCTTACTAGTTGGGTGACCCTAGGCAAGTCACTTAACTTCTGTTTGCCTCAGTTTCCTCAGTTGTCAAATTGGGCTAATAAAAGCACCTACCTCCCTAAGTTGTTGTGAGGATGAAATGAGATAACATTTGTGAAGCCCTTAGTACAATGCCTAACACGTAGTAGGTACTCAGTAAATGCTTATTCCCTACACACTTTCTAAAAGATTTCTCCATCTTCTAGGTAGTTATCTCAACTGAACCTCCCTTCAATTATTGACTTCATAAAGTCTCAAAGTCAAAATTCTAAGGCATGAGTTTGTTATTCAAGTCCATGAACGTTGAAATTATATGAGATTTGACTGGATGTAAAGCTCCTCTGCCAAATTGCTTATGAGTAGTTTGGAATAAATCCCTGTTGCTGTTTCTTGTCCTTTGCTGATTTCTACTACAATTCAGGGTGTGGGGGGGGGGGCGGGAATCTTGGTAACTAGAGGAGAATACTGTTTACTTGGGTTCCAGTTAATTGAGACTTTGCTATTTGTTGACTTCAGTCCCCCATCCCTAATAAAGAACAAGCATATGCAGACTCTTATACCTGTGATCAATGTGGCCCTTACTGTAAGCCTAGGCCTTTCTTTGCTTCCCACCCCAGACTCCCCCCTCCCCCATTCTTCTCCATAGGATTGCAGGACCAGAGACCAAAACCTAGTCCGACATCTTCATTTTAGAGAGAAGGAAACAAGCACCAGAAAGGTTTAGTGGCTTGCCTAAGATCACCCAGTGAAGGGCTGTGTTTGAGCTCACACTTGTGTCCTGACTACAAGCCCAGCATTCTGTACCCTCCCTGCTGGTCACCCATCGAGGCCATTTTGTCCATAAGTCAAGTAGATGGTGATAACCCTATGAAGTAGAAAGCCCTGAGGCCTGGAAGTCCTCCTTCTGCTGGCTGATGGCTGAAACTCTCTACCTTGGGAGTCGAACCTCTTTAACCTAAGGCTTGTGACCTGTGCATTCAATGGCTTAACCAAGACAGGTCAGCATTTTCTTTATAATTTTTATGGTCTTAGAGCATTACCTGGGTCACTGAGGTATTAAAGGACTTGCCCAGAGCCACACAGCCAGGATGTGTTGGAGATGAGGCTTGAATTGAATCCAGGCCTTCCTAATGGCTCTCCATCCACTATATTACACTGCCTCACCTAGGCCCTTTTCCCTGTTACAATGAAAGTGGTCTTGGGTAGGATAAAACTATAAGTTATTACTCACTCATAATACCTGAGTATTAATGAAGGATCTGAGAGCAGATTTGGAGAGGAGGAGGTAGAAGAGAGAAGGATGCTGGATCCCTAGAGGGCAGTGAGGAGGGGTGTTTCTGAAGGATGTGCCTAGAGATCGGACCTCGGGTAAACTTTCTGCTTTATGCGGGTGCCTGTCGTCTACCCTGACTCCTTGTAGCCATAGTTAGTAAGCATTTCCCTCTCATGAGCCTTTCACAGAGACCCTGCTCTCCTGAAGGAGGCAGAAATGAATGAGTGGAGGGAAGGAATGAGAAAGCATTTATTAAGTGCTGATTTTGTGTCAAGCACTGTATGCTAGAGATGCTCACACAAAAGTAGTCAGGCCCTGCCAGTAAGAAGCTGCCATTGCACCGGGGGGAAAAGTGGTGGCCAGGGCAGGGCCCTTTGGTTACAGAAAGTTACAGGGATAGTGAATGAGGCCATGGGGAGAAGATGAAAACAACCCATTCAGCACCCAAGGGAGAGTTGATTTGATCATGGTTCATGGTGTCTATGCCTAGCCTTTAGCACAGTGCCTGGCACATGGTAGCTGCTTAATAAGTGCTTATTGACTGACTGGTGGGGTTAGTGAGGAGAAGGGAGGGCACCTTTGGCTAGGAGGTTATAGAGGAGATGCCAGCGAGAAGGGAGTGAAGGGATACACAGGCAGGAGCTTTCCCAAAGTGTCCCTAGTTAGGACAGTGGAGCCCCAAGGGGGCAGCTCCCCCAGGGTCTGGGCTCTGGCATGGGCACGTTCTCAGATGGGAGGTAAGGTTGTTATCAAGGAGGGTGTGGAGAATTGTCCAGAAAGGAGGGAGTGAAGTGAAGAAGTCACTGGCTTCCTTGCCTACGTGTAGCTAGTGGCTTAGTATTGTCCAAAATAACAGTGAAACTTCATCATTCCCTGCCTGGATAGCAGGCAACCATTTGGTAGCTCTGCTCAAGCAATACCCTTACTTAGTAGTAGTAGTCTATTGAGAGGCCCACATCCCCTGCAGCCGGAAGATCAGCTGCCCCGAAGCCACTGGGAATTCTTGTTTGCTTACTGGTTTTCACACTTGGATTTTCTTTAATCATGTCTTATACTTAATATTGTATATTCCAGCCTTAGTGGATACTGAGAACTTACTAGCCATTGGTTGGTCAGTCAGGTAACGAGCATGTATTAAAACACTTCAGATGTGCTGAGGGAAAAGGATTTTTCTTCCTTGAGCTTTCCATAATGTGTGTGTGTGTGTGTGAGAGAGAGAGAGAGAGAGAGAGAGAGAGAGAGATAGACTGTGTGTGTGTGTATGTAAGAGAGAGAGACTAGCTGTTGAGAGAGAGACTGTATGTGTGTGTATGTGTGAGAGAGACCATGTGTGTAAGAGAGACTGGCTGTGTGTGTGTGAGATAGAGACTGATTCTCTGTGTGTGTGTGTGTGTGTGTGTATAAGAGAGAGACTGCCTATGTGTATGCGTGTGTGACAGAGAGACTGTGTGTGTGTGTGTGTGTAAGAGAGAAAGACTGGCTGTGTATATGTGTGTGTGAGAGAGACTGGCTGTGTGTGTGGGTGTGTGACAGAGAGACTGTGTGTGTGTGTGTGTGTGTGTGTGTGTGTGTGTGTGTGTGTGTGTGAGATAGAAAGAGACTGTGTGTGAGTGAGAGAGAGAGACTGGCTCTGTGTGTGTGAGTGAGAGAGAGATTGGCTGTGTGTGTGTGTGTGTGTAAGAGAGAGAAAGACTAGCTCTGTGTGTGTGTGAGAGAGAGACTGTATGTGTATGTATGTGTGAGAGAGACTGTGTGTGAGAGAAAGACTGGCTCTGTGTGTGTGTGTAACAGAAAGACTGGCTGTGTGTGTGTGAGATAGACTGATTCTGTGTGTGTGTGTGTGTGTGTGTGTGAGAGAGAGAGAGAGAGAGAAACTGGCTGTGTGTGTGTAAGATTGAGAGACTTGGATATAAACTTGTGTTTTTGTTTCTTTTTGCCTTTCCAGCTCCCCATTTATAACGTACCATGTCTCCATTCTAAGTACATTGAAGAGCAGCCTGGGCGCTTACAAACGGGCATTGCTTCCGTCCGAACTACAGCCTGTCATTATGTTGGCTGGTGCAAAGTAAGAACATTCTGTTAGTGATCCCTCTCGTAACCCACGATCTCTAAAGTGCCTGCTTTGTGTTCTTATCCATACAACAGCTCGAGTGGTTTCAGGTACTGCTTAGTGTGGATTTTCACACACAAAAACATTTTATCGAGATTGTTGTTGCTGAATTGTTCCTGATGGGGGTAAGTCCTGTGTGCTCGAAGCTGGGCCTGTTGCTGGACACTGACTTGACTGAGCAGCGTCAGCCAGCAGAGTAGTGGTATTCAGATCAGGATGATACTGTTGTCATAGTATGACCTTGGTGCCTACATGGTGGCATCAGAATCAGTGTCACTATCATCCTTGCCTAGTTGCCATCCAGACTTAAGACTGTAACCAACCTAACCTGTATCCATTCTGTTGTTTTTAGATTTTTAAAAACATTTCCTGTGGTTCACAGATCTACAATATAGTCCTGGAAAATTCCAGTTTGCTGAAATATTGTCGTTCTGAATCAGAGGTTCTTAACCTGGGGTCCATGCATTTTTTAAAAAATATTTTTATAATTGTTTCAATGTAATTGATTTCCTTTGTAATCCTATGTATTTTATTTTACATAAAAACATGATTCTGAAAAACGGTCCAGGAAGCATAAAAAAGGTTAAAAATCCCTCATCTAAATGGTCTTACTGGTCTTCAGTGAAGACATTGTGTTATTTTTTGTTTTTAATCCTGAGCTTGTCACGATCTTTTTCTGACAGGACTGTTTGTCTTTTTAAGGAGGCTCAGTAACATTCTTAACAGTTTGATCTCAGGGAAAATGTCTTGACTAATGAAGGTCTGATTCACACACCTGAGGCTAATGCCAGCCGGCAGATGATTCAGGCTTAGGTCTCCGGAGACCCCATTTTCCTCAGTGTTCTCAGATTTGTCTTTAGTGAAGCAAATTCCTCCTGAGACATCCTTAAATTGCTGCCGTCGCTGTCACCCAATTTAAGAGCAAAAGGACATTTAATTCCCATTAATGTTACAAGGAATGGGCTGAAAAGCACTTTTGAAGACATTTCATTTTGAATGTAAACAACTTTGCTCCTATAATTTAAAAGAAAAAAACCTAGTCTTTAAAAATGACTTCTCATTCAAATTTAACTCCTACTCCTAGTGCGCTAGTGTTTCAAAACTTGGGTAATAGTGCCCCATTGTGGTCAAAATGAATAAGTCACAATTTCTGTTCAATTTATCAAGAAACCATTCACTTTAGATTTATTTGTATGAATTATAGGTAAAGACAAATAGTTTAGTAGCATTTAGTTTCTCTTTGAACTCTAATATCATGCTGCTTGCACATTTTCATTTCTTTATCTTTACCTGCCGTTACAGTGCATGTAATGTAAAGTGTTATCCGGGCTCATAGCTTCCTTTGCTTTTGTCTAACATAATGCTTCAAGTTTCCTGCTCTTTGAAAGCTTCTTTGGCTGTTGCCTTCATAACATCTGGTCCATTGGTTGTTGTCCTTCCTTCATAACATCTGGTTAAGGGACTTGGGGAGTCAGAAGAGTTGGATTGTGTTTTGGCTCTAGTATACGGTGTGACCTTGGGTATATAACTTTGTGTATTAGCTAATGAGGAGCAGTGTTGTTCAGATCTCAGGTAAGCTGTATCCCAGTAGGCCGGCAGGTTTCTTGTTGGGTGCCTGCTCTTCTTATGTTCACTACCCTTGGGGAAAGAGAAAGAAAGGGGTACTTGGTACCCAGCAGGGGTCATCTCTCCCCCATCCTGCCTGAAATATTACTGGGGGAAAATGGTTGTTTGGTGGCATGCTAGAAAGGAAGGAGAGGAATTCAAGATAGTTTTGGGAAAAGGGCTGAGGACTGTGTGAGAAGTCTTCACTAACTGGGGTATTGGTGGCTTCTGGGAGAGGTTTGTCCTTTGCCCTGATGGTTGGCAGAGTTGGCTGCTGTTTCACTTGTCTCTCCCTCCAGCTTCCTGCCTAGAACCTGAGTCATCCTGCCCCACTAAATCATTCTAGTGGACATAGTCCAAGAGGGCTTTGAATGGTTGGTTGGTCCTGTCAGCTGGTGTGTCATGAAAAACTCCTACCTCTGGGTTCCCACTGTCCCTTGTCAGAGACAGAGAGATGCCAAACTGCTTGCTGAGTTAGAGATTTTAGGGATCTGTAGGGACAGTGTAGTGTTTATACAAAGAATTGTTACACATTTCTAAGATTAAGATCCATTCCTCCGCAGATCAAAACATAGGATTAGGGATAAAGTCTGGAGCCATGATTTCACTGGCATGAACAATTCCCTGGTGAGGAAATTCCCTGTACCTTCACTGCAACTTAGAGCCTTGGAAAGTTGCTTAGATCAAAGGATAAAGTATCAGTTAGCTCCTGAATAACTAGGAAGATTCTAATAATTGAAAGCAGCTTAAAACAACTCGTGTCTCATGCCTACCATATGGTTAAAGTTCAGTGTTGGTGGAGCTGGGAGAAATGGAGATGCTGAAAGCCCTACGGGCAGAGCCCTGTGCTGGTGCTGTCCTTTTGGAAAGCCAGTGGGGATTATACAGGAAGGGCAAGGAAACTTTCTGTACCCATCTTGGTACAGGCTTTCTCTACTGTGAATATACCCTAAGGATATTATCAAAAGACAAAAATGTTTTGTTTGTATGTAATTAGGAGCATCATTTGTAAAAGCAAAACACTGTAAACAACCTAGAGTCTAACAGTTGGGGAATATAATTCAGTGTTACAAAGTGAATAGAGAGAGCTGTTCTTGGTTGGACTCAGGGAGATGGCATTTCAAGCTCTGCGTGTCCCTGAAACTCTCGGTGCCCCAGGAAACTCTCCAAGGACCAAATTGCTAAGAAGGTGCTGACCTTTCTCAGTAGAGAAAGTTCTTCACCAATAGAACCCTGCACTGACCAAATAATTGGCCTGGCCTTCGCCTCCCCCAACCTCTTCTACCCTCACCCACCCCACCCCCACCCCCCGGCCAAAAAAAATAATAAGATAAAGCAAAACATGAAGAAAAGGAAGAGATATGAAAAAGCATGAAATGTTACCGATCAAAGAAATGAGAATCAGAGCAATCTTCTGTAACCTGGCCATGGAGTCTGTGGTATCTACAACGTGGCAGTTTCTTCCACCATGTGGATCCGAAACCTTTAAATGTACAAGCTGAGTCTTTGGGAATTGCCCAGATTCACATAGCTAGGAAGGATCAGAGGTGGGATTTGTACCCAAATTCTGAAGCTAGCTCTCTACCCACTCTGCTATGCTGCTTCTCAAAATAGTAACAGCAATAAAATCCTGAAAGATACACAAAAGAAAAGCATTCAGAAAGGGAAGCAGAAAGAAATAGGACAGACACTTTCTTTACCAAAACTCAGCTCCAAGGCTTCCTTCTGCAAGAAGCCTGTCTTGATTCCCTCAGCTAGAAGTAGCTGGCTACATCCCCATGGTGCCTTGTATTCATTTTGAATATATTCAGTATGTATGTACACACGTGCGGATCCAGGCGTGTGTGTGCATATGCTCTCCCCCCTATTGCCCAGCACTATTGTCATTGCATAGTAGATACCTAACACCTGTTCTTCCTGGCATTCCACTAAACAGGGCCTAGGATTATATAATAAGAGGTTATAGAAGATGATGTGGTAGAGTCAGAAATTCTGGGTTTGAGTCCTAGCTGTGTGACCTTGGGCAAGTCATTTGTCCACACTTCAGTTCCCTTATGTTTAAAATAAAGAGGTTTGACTAGAAGATCTCCAGATTTCCTTCTAGCTCTTCAGTATTTCAGAAAAGGTTCTTGATTCAGTTAATCTGCCAGTGCAGAGCACCCTGCTACACAAGCATGCACACGCTCTGCCTTCCTAGATGGTTTCCTGAGTTGTTGTGACTACTGAGTTCATCTTCCTTGGTGACCAGCCTTTAGTGATGGAGTTACATTTAGTTAGGCTGGTTCTTAGAAAGCAGACAGTTCATGACCTGGACTGGCCCGAAAGCCTTTCTAGTTTGGTAGGACCTGCCACTTGTGTTCTGCTGGTGTAGCCTTCAAGACGCCAGCATCATTTGCCCGTGACAACATGCCATCCAAGGAGGACTTCAGCGAAGGAAATCATGTATGTACTAAAGAGATCCCTGCCCTTCCCACTTTGATACTCTGGCCACGTGAATCAGATGGTTCGTCTACAGTGAAGAAAGCTCCCTTCTTCAAATTCCATCTTTTTTTTATTGTTTTCAATTTGATAAATGTTTGTATTTGTGCATTTGCTTGTGAGCTGCTCCCCAGTATTCATAGATGTTTCAGGAATGAACATTGTGGTTATTATCATTTTTACAGAATGGGAAACAGGGCTTCAGGTGAGCTTGCTGCAGGGTGAAAGCTGGAAGCAGAAGCCTAAGTTCACTGTCCTCTTTATTAATGTTTTCCTCTTGAAATGTTCAGTAGTTTCATTTGTCCATTACCTCCTTGATTCCCACTTCTCCCTAAAAGGTTCCTTCTTCCCAAATCCCTGTTCACACACTTTAATTTTTTTATCCATTTTAAAGAGATAGCTTCTTTTGTCTCATTTTTCAAAGACTCACATGGCCAATTTACTTTTTTCCTTTTTTATGGTAGGGTGTCTATGTTTGGATGAGAAACGGAATAAGGGATACAGTACAGTTTGGGAAAGGTAAATAAACTAGTTACAACTCAAAATGTTCTGGTGACTGTATGAATCATAATATTAAATTGAGGGAAAAAAAAACCATACTTGGTCACTTTGCCCAGTTGATAGACAGGAAGGAAATCAACAAGTCATTAAACAGATATCTGTGTCAAAGCTTGGTTCCTGATCCTGTGTTGTTTATCCAAAGCCAAAGAAGAAATTAAGAGCAGCAATCCGTAGTTGGTGACTACTTAAAATAACAAATGCTGTTTTAAAAAACTGAGGAGAAATGTGTTGCGATTGTAAACTGCCCATTGAGAACTGTAATTGTAGATTATTTCATTTTTTAAAAACTTCCAGGAAATAATAAGACATAAAATCAGCCTTTGAATATTAATGTCAGTGGATGAAAGCTGTGGCAAAATAGTGGAGCATCTAGAAGTCCTTTTTATTTGCCGTGGGAATGTGTTCTATGATTTTGGGCACAACAGATTCCCCTTCCATTTAGTCATGCTTGGCTTTGGTTAACAGTCAAATGGGTTTGCATCCTCTGAACATAGGAGAAGATGACTTTGAAGTTTAAATTCATTACAGATAACCCACACGTACATAGGGGTATAGAAATTAATTCAGAGTTTCAGCCTAGCCTTAGCTCATAACCCCTGTGAATATGTGGTTTCCTTTGAATTAGTTGCTAATAGCAATAGTGCACCGCTTTGATTGGATACTATTGTTTACTGGGGAAAATTAAGAGAATGGGCAGCAGCACAACTGGGGTTACATACTAGCCCTGCTTTTTATTATGCATGACTTTGGGCAAGTCACTTAACGTCTTCTGGTCTCAGTTTCCTCATCTGTAAAAATGGGCTTTAGAGTAAGGTGTCTTCTACTTCTAAATGTGATCTTGTGCCCAGTTCTACATGGTCTAGACTTCCCATTCTGTCCCTTCTGTCCAGCTTTGCCTCTTACCCCAGTGCCAGTTAATGGCCACACTAAAGCAAGACAGGCTGGGAAAGTTTTGCCAGACTGGAGTGATCAGTGTCACAGAGGCCTTGAAAATCCATCATTCAAGAATCGAAACTTCTGGTCTCTGCTCGAGTTTAGATTTAGGTTTAGATGAACTGAAGATATGAATGGATCAAGGCCCTACTTTTCTGTTTTGGGCGTTTTTCTGCTCTGCTCATATGAAGCTACTCAGTAAAGGCCTGGGCTGCCCTTCTGGCCATCTTTACCTGTACATTTTGTGGCAACTGCTGAAACCCAAGCAAGAGCAACAAAATATGCACAGTCAGGACTTCACTGAAGACACACTCCCCAGGAAGGTGGAATCTGAAAGCAGGGACCTGCTGTGTGAGATCTTAAAACACAAGCAATATCTGAAAAGCAGAAGATGAAGGCAGATGTCCTGTTCTTCATTTACTTAAAATATCTTGTACTAACTTCAGAGTTTCACGCCGATGTGTGTTTTGGCTGGCCCTCTTGAGGAGTAAGTTTAGAAGTACTTGCTCATACTTTAGTAGTTAGTTGGCTTTAACCTCTCTACATTATATCTTTACTGTAAGCATGCCAAGTAGGATGTAATATTCAGGTGCACTATTTTCCATTAAATTGTTGCTTTTTATGATTTTTTGAGATGCATATCTTTATCTGAAGAATCCGCCTCAAGATTTTCTTCCAAAAATTGGTGTGATTACAGCTTCAGGATTGCTTGGCTTGATTTCAGCCAAAAAAGGTAGCTTTTGCTTTATTCTCTCTTTACTGTCATTTTTTTTTTATTCAGAAGATATAATTCATTTTCAGAGGTTATATTACAATTAGACAAAATCATTTCTAAGAACTTTTGTTTTTGTCATATGTGTTTCTACAAAGATGATAGTAATTCAAATAACCTTTAAAGCTGAATAAATTTTACAAAATTTGTTTTTTATTAATGTTATCTTTTTTAAAATTAAAGATTATAGGATCTTCTGAAACCAGCAGATAGCCTTTTAGGAATTTCGTGCTAATGTGTACCTGTAAACAGCTTAAATTTGAATGTCTACAATAAATTTCTTCATTGAGAAATAATTAAAAGCCATGGTCTACTATATAGAACAACAAAGTTTTATTCGAACTAAACTTAAGGAATTTGGCTGAAAAGTTTTAGTCTCTCATTAAGACCCTTCTCCAGAGTAGGGCATATTACTCTGTTCCCTAGGTCATTCAGCAAAGTATCTCTAGCTATTGGGAGAGTTGTTGACCCCAAATAAGATTTCTCTCCTTACCAGAGTGACCTTTGATCTCTGGTGGGGAGGAAGAGGAAGGTATAAGTTCTATTTTAATCTTTTGGGCTGAAACAACAAAGACAAACCCCAACCTATAAACAGAGCCCAGCTTAATTGCTGAGAAAATACATGTGATCATTTAATGCAGCTAGAGCCGTCTCAGGAGAAAAGACCAAGAGACAGGAAGTGAGCAGTGATTTGTGGTGGGAGAGAGAGTAGCAAGGCCCGGTTCCCTGTGAGCAGGCCAAAACCTTTATGCCTGCTTACCAGAGAAATGATTGCAGAAGGCTTACGATCACTCTGTTTAACCCTGGCATAGAAATCAGCTTCTAAATTCATTGACCCTCTGAAGAGCGTCTCGTTTGTCTTCCCAATGTTGATAGCATTTGTCCTGGCAAAGATTCCTAGTCTGGTTTAATAGACATGAACACTGGTGACGAGGTTGATAAGTTATTTTTCCATTTAGCTGGAGGGTTGAATGCAATAAAGACTGGTCCTCAAGCCTAGGAGTGAAATGCCTGAACTTTAACTTACTCATCTCATGGGCAGCATGGTGCTCTGGCAATTGTGGAGAACTTGGGTTCGAGTCCCGTGTCTGAAGCTTACTGCTCGTGTGACCTTGGCAGGCTGCCCAAACTCTCTGCTCTTCAGTTTTGTTATCAAGAAATTGAGGAAGTTGGACTCAGTGACCTCTGAAGGCCCTTCCAGCTCTGATTCTGTGAACCTATCATCTAGCTGGTCACCTAGTTGCATAGACTATATTTAATATGTCCATGGCATCTCTATATTTTCTATTATTTCTAATAATAATGATGGCAATTGCAGAATGTATATGGTACCTTAAGGTTTGCAAAGCGCATTACAATTATCATCTCATTTGATCTTGTGAGGTAGGTGTTACTATGATCCTCATTTTACAGATGAAGAAACATCTGAACGGAGCTTCAGGGGCTTGCCCAGGGTCACACACAGCTGTTTTCTGAGGGCAGATTCGAACTCAAGTGTTCCTGACTCTGAGTCTGGCACTCTTTCTACTATGTCACCTCACTCTCTCTACAGTGATGAAACAGCACACTTTGTTTTATTTCTAGACCTGGGAAAGGGTTAGGGCAGAGGTGAGGAACCCGTGACCTCGAGGCCACGTGTGGCCCTCTAGGTCCTCGGGTGCCGCCTTTTGACTGAGTCTAGACTTCACAGAACAAATCCTTTTATTGCAGGGATTTGTTCTGTGAAGTTTAGACTCAGTCAAAAGGCAGCACCCGAGGACCTAGAAGGCCACATGTGGCCTCGAGGCCGCAGATTTCCTGCCCTGGGTTAGGGTTTACTAGTTGGGTTTCTTAGGCATTGCAGAAATGCTTAGCTTTTAAAACAGGAGTAAGTAGAGCCAGGAAAAAAGAAAAGAAGGCTGTGTTCAAACAATCAACAGCATGACTGTGCAAACAGCAGACATGAATTGAACATGACAGCTGGGGGCCAGGGACCGTGGATTAATTGGGTTGAATTCTTCAAGGATATTTTAGCTACCATCTTGACTCTTTGATTCCCATGGGCAGTTTCTTATAGGATGTTGGCTGTGAAAGGGAGATGGGGAAAACATTGATGTTGTAGAAGCATCTGTTTGGAGTTAAATACTTTGTTTGGGTTATACAGGCTCTAAATTTAAGAAAATTGCTTATCCATTGGGACTGACCGCTTTAGGAGCATCTGTTTGCTACCCAGCTCAGGCAATATTAATTACCAAGGTAAGTTCTTTTCATAGTGATGGTATCAACATTCTTATATTTGTTTAAACTCAAAGCTTTGCAAAATGTAAATGTTGTACCACGCCTGTAGCCTTTAATTTACAGAGAGATAGAGTTGATATCAACACTCGTGTGTTGGCATTAGTCACACAAAATCACATTAGCATCTCAGCATGATAAATACCACACTCTTAATTACATGACCATCAGAAGTGAGCAGACAGGATGAATTTACTTAAATAAAATTAAACAATATAAATGCTCTTTTTTTATATTAAGTTCAGAGACTGCTTTTGAATTTATACAGAGGGGAGTGCTCCATTGTTAAATGCTATAAAATTAAATTTTTAATTAACGGAAAATTGCACCTGCTGGCAGCTGTTCAGTGCAGCATATTAACATAATGCTAGAAACAGCCAATTGATATTCAGCAGTGGCTTCTTAAGCCTTAAAAATATGGATGTGTATGTGTGTGTGGATTTCAAGTCTAGAACACCATCTGGAACTAGGAAATCCTTTCCATGAAAATCTCATTTCAGCCCTTTTGCAGTTTTTCTTGTCAGCTCAACTGTACAGCTGAATGGTTTCTTCTCATTTTATCCTTTGCCATTGTAGGATTTGCTTTGTGTACACATGCTCTCAGTAGAGTTTACAGCTTTCTTGGACAGAGAGGTTAGAGATCTCGAGTCTTTCCTCTTTTCTTACCTACTGAACATTTCCTTCCTGTTTTAAATAATAGGCTTTCCAAAGAGCATTCTCTACTTGTGCTTCCTATTATGCTATTTTTTAAATTATTGGTCTAGCTGAGACGGCCTGTTTTGTATCAAGACATTTTTAAGACTATCAAGGATAGATTCTGCTACTTGGCAATGTGACCAAATCACAGCAGCAGATCTAAGCAGGAAGGGAGAGTATCACTATAGCTAGATGTGGGGCAAAAGGAAAACAAGAGGCTGCTGAGGAATTAGCTGGATTTCGCCGCTTCTTGCCCCTCGGTCGGTAACTCAGCTAGTTTGTCCTTCCTACCACTGATGATCTATCAAAGGACGGTGTATCCAGAAACTCCTCCAGGAAGTACCAAGGGAAACTAATCATTTACCACTGTGACATCATGAATGGCTGAGTTTGGGGTTGGGTTTGGTTTTTGGATCTTCCCATGGTAGTTTTGGTAACTAACATACATGGACAGAAGTTTTGGTGAAGAGGAGTAAGTGGTTTGTTTATCCTTGAAAATGTCACACATGTGGTGTAGTCGGCATTAACATTTCCAGAACAACTCCAGGCCCTGATCTAAAAGCAGCTAAATGTTTGGTGAATGACTTTAAGAAGGACTTTTTAACAGAAAAGAACCAGTTCAGGGTGAGAAAAAAGGAACAGGAGAAAAAAATCTCAGAGAGGGAAATAAGGGGGAGGAAGGCAAGAGCAACTTCATTTAGACGGGAATTCATCTAGAGCCTGAGGGCTCCACTTTAATGAATGGCAGGCCTTAATTCTTAGACCTTGTTCTACAAACTGAGTTTTCTCCAGGGACACTCATTGATGCTTTCTCTGTGTGGGGGTGAAAAAGGCCTTCAGAGGAAAAAAAAAAAACAAATTTGGGTTGACTTTTCTTTTGTAGATGTTTAGCAACACAGTGAACCTTCTTTCTTAAGGTATTTTCTTAACTGAAACTAGCCCTCCAATCCAGTGAACTTATTATGTACACAAACTGCTAGAAATATTCTTTACAAATTCTATTTCATGTGATGTAAATGGTTCAGAAAATTAAACTTTATGTTCAGTAAAGGCAAGATTTCTGTCTTGTTAGTTCAGACTTTGGCATTCTCATGGAAGAAACTGGCAACTCTTGGAACCATCACATAGGTATTAATATAGAAAAGCTATTATTGTATTCTCCCTCCCCCCAGAAAAAAATTGACTCTAAACCCCACTGTATTCTAACTAGGTTACTGGGGGAAAGGCATATGCTACAAGCCAGTGGATTTATGAAGTTCTTGGGTCATTGTGGACAGAAAACGACACACAAAAAGAAACTGAACTCAAAGAAGAAGTGAAGGTAGGTTTCCGGCCAGAGAAGATGGTTTGTTCTACACTTATTTTTGTGTATGGGGCAGGGGGTAGCATATAGAGGTAATATTCAGTCATCTCGGACTCAAGTTAAGTGGTTTGGTTGTTTTAATGTGGTTGGTTTACTTACGGAGGAAAAATATCTTTTTGGTGAACAGCTTAGAAGAGACGTCAAACTTGACACACCTGCAGCTATGGCAGCAACACAATCCAAAGTGTCCACGCTCAGTGCTGAAGTGGCAGGCAGACCAGCACCATCCTCAGGTGCGTTCTGAATCATTTCACGTGGTTTCTCTTTGCTTTCTCCTAAATAGTTCCTGATAGTAGAATGACAATTATCAGGTTGCCCTTGATAGGTTTATTTCATGAATGTTCTTATGTCTTTTCTCAGCTGCTTGGGGGCTGGGACTACGTAGTATTCTTTTGTATCTGTGCACAATGCAATGTTTTGCAGCTTCGGCAGACTAACTGGACTGACTGCAAGAGTGGAGATAGTTAACATTAATTTTAAAACATTGCGGGGAGGGAAGCACTGTGGTATAAGTGGAGAGAATCAAGCCTTTCTGAGTTCTGTAAGTTTCTAGGCCATGGAAAGTCGCCCATGTAGAAGAACTAGCCCCTTCTCCTCATGTTCTGTGTTCTGTTTCCTTCATTCTCTCGTTCTTCTTTATTTCCCTTTCCTGTCTAATTTTCTTTCATTTAGACCAAAGGTGGGGAACCTGTAGCCTCAAGGCCACATGTGGCCTTCTAGGTCCTCAAGTGCAGCACTTTGACTGAGTCCAAGTTTTACAGAACAAATCCTTTTATTAAGGGGATTTGTTCTGTGAAGTTTGGATTCAGTCAAAGGGCCTGATTTAGATGCTAGGAGGAGCTCCAACATCAGACATTGGAAATGGTAGCAGCTATTAACATTAGTGCCTTTGCAAGTGGTAGCATTTGAGAAGTTGATCTAAAAGTAGTGATCAGACCCTCTGGATAAGTACCATCATGTTTGAAACTATTTGGGTGCCCCCACCCAGTCATTGATTCAGACTTCTTGGTCTCTCTCTTTTTTTTTTCCCCATTTCGTGACTTGGAGCATCTTTTGTTATATGAGAGATGCTATACTAACTGCTATATTCTGTCAAGTTGTAAAATCAAATTATAGTCAACTCTTAGGACAAAGGGCATTAAATTAATTTCAGCTTACATGAAAGTTAAACATTCAGTAGTTTAACCACAGGATCAGAGCTACTTTGGGCCACTCTTCTTGTCTTTATCTGAGTTCTGGAGCCCTTCTCCAGTGTATCCTGTTTCTAGGGTGGTAGGCAGGTAATAACATGAAAATTATTTTATGGAGTTATTCTATGATATTGTCCACATTTATAGTGCCCACTATCAACATGTGTAATTCAGAGTTTACTTCTTCCTTAATGACATTAGGAATATTTCTGTCGTGCCATTTGCTTGAAAAATTTCGGAGAATTTCACAAGGGCTATTATTTTTAATTTTCTCATTTACTGAGTTGAGGACCCAAAACTGCTATCCCAGTTTTACATACAAAAAGTAGAACATTTTCTGGCTTTCTTAAGCTCACTTAGTAGGGAAGCCTGAAATGTGCCTAGTCTTTTTCCACTTGGATGCTTGGCTGTAGGTTTGAGATGTACGTGGACTATTCATTGGACAGGGGTCATTAATAGGGATCATTTGGAGTAGGAGGCTGTATGAACTGCAAAGGTGCTAATATTACCCTGAAATTTTTCCTTCACAGCATTCTAGGCTGTTTTCTTTCATTCTATGATAGAACAACTTCAAATCTTTTCCCTAATTCTGTACTTAGTTCTATAATTTTAAAATTCTTCCTTTCCTAACTTTCCTTTTAAATAGCTTGTGTTTAAAAGGACTGAAACACTATGGGGGAAAGCTTTAAGTATATTTGGAAGGAGGAGTTAGACTTTCTTATAAGAGGAAAAATAAAGTAGACTTCAAATGAATACCCACTGATTCAGGAATTGTGATTCAATTCAAAAAAAGATCTTTAAACGCCACCTACTACATATCAGAGCACTAGGCACTGGAAAAGAAAGCAAATTTTAGAGAAGGTGGAGTCCTTGCCTTCATGGAGCTTATACTCTAGCGGTGGGCTAAGATACAAATGACACTAATCCCTGCCAGGTACATGAGGGAGATACAAACAAAGTGTTATGTGAGGTGGTAGCATGGGGTGTTATTGACTGGGGGTAGGGGTGGGGCTGTAAGGGAGGAGGACATGGAAGGCTTCATAGAGTTAATAGCATTTGAGCTGGGCTTTACAAGATGGGCAGAATTTCAACAGGTAGAAGGAATCCAGGCATAGGGTCATAGGGTTGGGAAGAGTGTAACCAAAGGAACAAAAAGGCAAGAAGCAGGTATGTAGGTGAGCAAGTACTCCAGTTTGGCTGGAGCCTAGAGTATGTAGAGGGGGCCAGAACAGTAAGCCATGAGGCCAGAAGGTAGCATGATGCCAGATTGTGGAGCTCTTTGAATGCTAAGGAAAGGACTTGGGCAATAGGGAGCTACCCAAGATTTTTGAGCAGACCTTATGCACAGGGAAGAGCCTGGGGTGGGGGTGGGGGGGGTAGCTCTTTGACTAGCCTGGGGCCAGGGCAGTTTCAGAAAGCAGAGGTGGTATTGAAGGTCTGGACTAGGCTCATGGCAGTGTAGATATTGAGGACAATTCATATTATAGTGTAGATGGAGAGTAGCCAGAATTTGGTAACTGAATGGATGTGGGACATAAGGGAGAAATAGAAGTCAGAGCTCAGGTTTCAAACACTGGAGATGAGTGATGCCACTGACCTAAATTATGAAGTCCGGAAGAGGAGCAGGTTTGTCGAGGAAAATCATGAGCTCCATTTGCCGCTGACTCCACCCCCCAAATTTCTAATGGTCTGAACTAAGCTGAGTGTTAAGGCCTCTAAAGAAACTCGATGGAGTCGAGTCTGTCTGTGGGGGTTATGGGGGGGTATATTAGGGAGGCAAGAGGACAGAAATGCCAGAGAACACAGAAACATTAAGCCAGCCAGTTAAGAGCATGCCTAAGTATATCTGGTTAGCATTTGCTTTGAAGGTTTCTTCATTAACAAAGCTGCAGGTTGATTATTTAGTCCATCTTTTGGTTGTTTTAGTAGTGAGGACTATTTTAGAGCCAAAGATTAGTGTCATTCTCAGACTGCCCCCACTTGGAGGCAGCAAATACACATTGGTATCTCAGCTAGTAATGCCTTGTGACCTGGGCCTTTGTAGAGAATTAGATGGTGAATTCAGTCTATTCGAAGGGTGCTTTATGAAATTGATATGTTCTGGAAAAGTTGAATGGAAAACAAATTCATATGCAGCAAATCCTGTTTTCTCATTAAGTTGGATTTTTTGAGGGAGGGGGAGGTGGAGATAGATGGCCCCCAAAATGTAAGAAAATCACATATTTAAAGAAATGAGAAAGGAATAAGACCCAAAATATTAATGCAAAGAAAAGAGGGTTATCTTTATGTTTGGGGGAAAAAAGTTTGATAGAAATTTCTTTGGCAGAAATTTGTGCCAGTTTAACTGAATAGACCAAAGTAAGCGGCAAAGTTATTTGGTTTCCATCTACCCCATTCTGATATCGTGCATCTCTTCAGTTGCTAGTTCCTAGCGTTTTATGGATGCTACTGACACTGAGAAATAAGTAAAGTTTTCTGAGCTAAAGTAGGGAGGAATATAGATGCAACCATTCAGAATGCTGCTTCCTTCAATTCCTAGGACCACAGAATGACGTAATAATGAAGTTTTACTAAATATGTGCCTGCCCCCAGGAGACCTCAAATTCTTTACTCTGAATCATCAGGTATTATATTTCAGTGCCATCCCGACTTTAGCCATTTCTGTATAACAAGGTATACCTGGAGCAAATGTCATCTGACTTCTTACACTTTCTCATTTTAATGCTTTAGCAGGTGCTGTTACAGCCACACAATTTAAGGCTGACCCCAAGCTCATGGACCACGGTCAGTCCAGTCCAGAAGATGTAGATATGTACAGCACTAGAAGTTGAAATAAACTGCATACAGATCTTCAAGAAGTAGAAAGCTTGGCAAATAATATAACTGGGCCCCCTAGCTATATCGCTTAATCAGGTATTTCCTTAACTTTTCATCCATCCATCCATCCACAGACAGACTCTGAAAGCAATCAAAGCTGAGTTCAGTGTTGTCAGGATGCATTGGATGCCATACAATGGGGCGCACTTAACACAGAAGATGGAATAAAGATATGAGCATCACAGAGGCTTTGACATTTTAAATATATCTCTGATTTAGCTGCCCTCTTAATGTGACAGCTAAGCAAGAATCCTGGGTAAATGTTTTCTTTCTTTTTTACACTTTGGAGGTCTGGAGCAAAATATTCACATTAAAGTACCAGGGCCTGATATTGGTATTTTCAACCATCTTTAAATGTCAGAAACCAGCTCTGGCTGCTGCATTTGTCTAATATATTGCATTTCTTTAATATATGTAAGCATGAAGAACAGATCTTTTCAACATCCTTCCTTTACTCTCAGAAGTAATTGAAATAAAATAAATTTGTGTGACATCCTTGTACAGTTTTATTTAACTTGAAACCATCCTCATCTTAACCATGAGGTTAAATACCCATGGTTTAAAAAAGAGTAATCATTTCACTTATTAAAAAGTATTGTAGCTCTTGAAGCTCATGAAAGGTTTTTAGGTATCTCTGGGCTCTTAAAGGCTGTGGGAATAGAATGCAAGCTCTAGCATGCTCTGCCAAGCTGGAAAGTTGTCAAGTAGAGGCCCCACGATGGACTGTCTCCCAATGGCCAAGCTACCTAAGTTCGGAAAGATTCCTCACTGGAGGGTTGGCCAACCAAGTGATGATTATTATAGCCACAGCCACTCCTGAAGGCCATCTCCCGTGGAGCTGTGGGGAAGTGATCTGCATTGATAGGGAGAGTAGTGATACCAGTGAAATCACGGGTCATTGACCAAGCTTATGAAGTGTCATCATAAGCCTTTTCCGAGACCAAAAGAAAAAATCCCAGCACGGTACTAGCATTGTCCAAAGGAAAGAGTTGGGCAATAGAAAAGGAAAGGAACTCCAACTTCAGGGTTGCTGCTGCTGCTGTTCGGACCACCCTCTGTGATTGGAGGGAACAGCTGCAAGTCCGAACAAGAGAAGAGCTTTGAGATGTAAGTGGTGATAACAGGCATCCTAAGGCCTTCCCACACATACAAGTAACTAAACACCTTGCCTCTTTGTGCATTTGCATCTACTTTCTTTGCTTGAAAGAGTTACTGCATCTTCAGAAAGAATCATTTACTCCTTCCTCACTCATAAGATCAGGATGGTTATAAAGGCTTTATACAACTCCTTTTTTCAAGTCAGATTGATGAAGTAGTTACTCTCCGATTTTCATTCATATATGAGTAAATTTGCAGCTCTGGTACCAAAAAATTCAAATAAGTAACTGTCCAATTGGATAGAGAAGAACATGGTGCTACTCTAAGATTAGTCAGGGAAAGAGGCTAAGCAGAACACAGCAAAACTCAAATTACAAGGTAATTACAAAAATTAAAATTAAAAATTACAAAACACTGCCCCCTATTGGAAAGAGGCAGCTGGTCTGATATAGGTCCTCAGGCTTGGGGACAATCAGGTAGAATTGATTTCACAAGTTTTAATTCAAAGGTGTTTTGTTTTTTTAAACACTGATGATGGAAGCTAGACACAGTGAAATGTACTGTGATTTAACGAAAAGGATGTTTAAAATGATTTAAAAACAGATTTAAATAAATTGATGTCAAATTTTGAGTATATTCAAAAGTTTTCATTACAGTTAAATAGGTAAGTGCAGATTTAGACTAAAAATAACAAAAGGAAATTTAACCATTTGGTGGTCATGTTTCCTTCCCACATTTTTTTCCTTCACATATCCACAGTAAATGAAATACTCTGTGGTACAGCTTTTAATTTCTCTGATTCAGTGTGCATTCTCTTTGGCCCTTCTGTCTTCACTGCTTCCTTTTTCTCTTGGTGTCATTGGTTTCTCACACTGCATCCAAAGCCTGCAGTGACACAGTCAGGCCCCCCCACCCCCGGTTCTCTGTCAGGGTTCTGTCTGCTTCCTGAGGATTCTTCTTCATGAGAGGCTGGTCTAAAATATAAGGGTAAAATGTACTAGTGTCTCGGGGAGGCTGTGGATTGATAAGAGATGGTTAGTGTGTGAGGCTATTCACATGGCCCATGCTTTTTATCAGGACTTCATTCATTTACCCAGAGAGTTGTGTATTTTGAAGATAGGTTCCTCAGTGGGCTTGATATCAGTGCCAGAACAGAGATCAAAATACTCTTAAATGTGGTATGGCTTTATTGTTCTTAGACCATGAAAGTAGATCTTCACATCATTCAGCACCCACTATGGTGAACAGCTGCCTTGCAATATAAGGGGAAAGCTGAAAAGTGAATTCGCTATGCACAGTAATAAAACAATATTGCATTTCCATTTGCTTCTTTCAAACAAATTAGCTGCTGCAGCCAGGAGGACTCTTCCCACAGTTGTGACATCACAAAGACGGAAGGTATCAGCCAAATATTCCTTGTTATTAAACTTCTGTTCCTCAGCCAAGGCCTTTACCTTTCCATGGCTGCTTTTTATCACTTTCCCAGCTCACTTGACCAGCCTTGCCCAGTATGCATCCAGCCTGTCTGGCCTCTTACCTCACACCTACCTACCTGCCTCCTGCCTTTGTACCCCACTTCTCTCGAAGTGCCATCTCTTCTCCCACTAGGCACATAGACGCTGCTCTTAAACTCATGGCCAGGGGGAGGGGATATCCATAAAATGTAAAAGAAAAAATTTAATGACAGACTTTGGGAGTAAAAGGAATAAAGCCTTGTGGAATTATTAGCAGTTAAGAAAGTTGCAGGTATGTCTTGGCTATTGAGATTTGTATGTTGCAGATATAAATTATCATTTGTACAAAATAGGAGTTCACAGGTAAATACTTAAACTATCAGTTTGGAAATCCATTTAACAGGTAAAGTACGCTGGTGGAAGGGAGAGCAGGAGTTAGTATTTTGGAGATGAAGATTAAAAATCAGAAGTCTATATTTCACTATATTTCACTAAAAATAAAAGTAAATTCCTGGAGAACATTAAATGCATAATAGTTGAGTGTCTATATGTTAAAAATCCATGTCTTACTAATGTGAAAATATGTTTAATAGGAATGTATATGTAGAGCCTATATCAAATTGCATGCTGTCTTGGGGAGGGAGGGGGAGAAAGTTTAAAACTCAAAAGCTTATGGAAGTGAATGTTGAGAACTAAAAATAAATAAATATTTTTTTAAAATTTTTAAAAATTCATGTCTTAGAAATATTCAGACTAAAGTAGTATCCAAAGATTAAAGACACACTGGCACTGCTTCAGTGGTCAGAAACCTTTTGGGGGGGGCCGCACCTGTGATTTCTTTCAGCATAAGGAATTCCCAGTGTATAAACTCTTATTAATGCAAATGAGTCCACATGTGTGTTTGTGTCAGAAGTTGGCCATGAACCTTGGTCTTCATGGGTTTCCTCCTTTCCCAGAGCTGGCCTTCTGTTTCTATCCACTATGTTCCACCGACTCTGCATCAGGGAATATCATTTGAAAATATGCAGAGCAGTCCTCTTCTTCCCCTTTCCCCCCCAACTCCCTTACCATTTGGGATTTCTAATCTTTTTCTAATAGGAACAGAGTTTTTGTCCACCAAAATGTGCTACAGTAAAGAAGCTTATTATTAATTTGAAGCAGAAGAATGAATTTGATTTAAAGGTGGAAATCTAGTTTCCCAAAAATTTTATATAGTAAGATAGTCGATACTGAGTAAATTGTGTCTGCTTTGGTTGTAGCTGAAAACAAATTAAATTATGTACCAGATTCTAAAACTTTTTGTTGCATAATTTAAGCAACTGAATTTTTAAAGTCTCATACCTTAAGTAATGCTATAAGAAAGAGGAAAAGTGAGCCTAGCCTACTTACCATGTAATACCACATTAAAATTGGGAATATGGATTGGGATTCAACTCACAAATTACATTGTAGGAAATTACTTCATGTTTCTATTTCCATCCAACCAAGGTCTGGAATAATAGCTTCGAAACTGATCAAAGTTTGTACCTTAATTTCATTTTAAAGTATTTTAAGCAAACCAGTGCTGGATTTAAGTTCATAGATCCCAGAAGTATAGCCTATGTCATTTGAAAACTTGGGATCAGACAGAAATATTGTAAATTGTAGGATGTGGTATCAGGCCTGGTATCATGCAGCTAGTGGCACCACAGAGTGCTGGGCCCAGAGTCAGGAAGACCTGAGTTTAAGTCTGGCCTCAGATACTTACTAGCTGTGTGACCCTGAACATGTCACTTGACCTTTCTCAGCCTCAGTTTCCTTGTCTGTAAAATGTAACAGTACCTACCTCCCAGGGGTGTTGTGAGATCAGATGAGTGAATATTTGTAAAAGCACCTAGCACAGTGCCTGGCACATAGTAAGTGCTATAGAAATGCTTATTCCCTTTCCTCCTCTCTTCCCCTTCCCCATCTGATATAGTAGTACAGAGGATCTTATACTATTCTGCCGGCCTAGGAGAGCATTAACTCTCCTGTTATTTTGGACTAACTTAACCATCCTTCAGATCTACCAGTGACAACAGAAGCATTCAGTAGCTGTGGTTTAGACAGTGAACATCCGGGCTATAGCCAGGGTCTATTGCCAATAAAACCAGTCAGCCATCAGTTATGACAGCGAATTTATCCCCAAAAGGGTGCGTCTAAGCCAGGCCTTGCTTTTAACTTTAGAGAGATCACTACCTTTGTTTAGTTGTCTATTTCCAACAGGACTGAGAGCAGTGAAGGGACCTTGGAGAGCATCTAGTCTACTCCTGTCATTTTACAGAAGGGAAAACTGAAGCCAAGAAAGAGAAGGTGACCTCCTAAGGCCATCCAAGTAGTGATGGAGGGAGCATTCACACGGGGGGGAGAGGGGGGAAGAATTCTGCCTTCAAATTCAGTGTTCTTGGGAAATTGCTCCATTTGCTAAACCAAAGTAGCTTGAATTATTACCCCAAACTTGTATTTAGGGAAGTGGAAACCATACAGAAAACATATTTAGAGAGATCAAACTCCCCCATCTCCCACATGGAAAGTACAGGATAGAAAATCCTGGGTCAGGTCTTCCAGGGCAGCTTCATTATTTGGTTTGAAGGGAATTTCCAGAACCTTACCTGTCTGCAAGTGAATATGCAAAATACACATTTATGTAGATCTAGACTGGCTGATCGAAAGATAAGACTACAAGACAAACAGAAGTGATTGCTAGGTGAAGATAACCAAGAGTTTACTGTGTTTCACCAGCTGTTTGAGCAATTGGTCTATGTTGGGGCTCAAACCAGAGGCTGGGGATGTGATGTATGGTACAAGGGAAGTCTACAAGATGAGGATTTAGCACCTGGAATGGCAATTTGGAAGCACCTTCACTTTTCATTTGCCATTTGTAAAAGCTCCTTTTTGTTAAACCAGAACAGATGCCATCCCTCCTGAGAGGATAAGTCCAGGGCCCCCCGCCTAGTGTAGTATTCGGTAGATGTCTGGTTCCATATGACTACAAGAAAGTTCATGCAGCTGCAGCCGTTGGTAATTGCTATCTGTTTACAAAAGCAAAGAAGGGGCATTCTTATTTAAAAGTGGATTAGTATATTCATTCCTTCAGAAAATGTCATCTGTATATTGCGTGCACATCTATTACTTCTAAGAAAATACTCTTGCAAGACTTCTCTCTTAAAGCATTTCATATCTCTGGAATGGATGAAATTCCATTGTTCCAAGTTTAACAACCCCAAAACTAGTGCCACTCCTTAGTGCCACTACAAATTCTGCTGACTCTTCAGACAATTATGGCATAAAAGAACTTGGACTTAGAATGCTATTCTTTCCTCTCTACCTTGGAGGTAAAATCATCTTGTACCAAAGCCTTTCTGCCTGGTACTTAACTAATGGAAGTATCATTGGATGACCAGCTTTATGGTCAATTCTCCTTTACAGTAACGGTATAATAAAGCTTCTCTAAATAAAATATAATAATAATAAGTGACTGGCATTTATATTATTCTAAGGTTTGCAAAGCACTTTACACAAGTAATCTCATTTGATCCTTAGAACAACTCTGTGAGGTAGGTGCTATTATCATCTCCATTTTACAGACAAGGAAACTGAGGTGGAGAGGGGTTAAGTGACTTGCCCAGAGTCACATTCCTAGTAAGTATCTAAGGCAAGATTTGAACCAGGTCTTCCAGTCTCCAAGTCCAGAATATTTCTGGATGTAAAGCACATTTATTTCAACTAAAACATGTACAATATTCATTTATGATAATAGCTGACATTCACAAAGAGCTGTATTATACATTATCCCATTTGATTTTCACAGCAACCATGGTCAGGCCTGGAAGTGTTAACACCATTTTGCAGATCAGAAAAATGCAGCTCAAAGAGATGGGGACAAAACTAATGTACTAGTGGCCAAATTTAAATGCCGGTTGCCCCTGACTCTTAAGTCCAGGACCTTTTCAGTTACACCACTCTGCTTCTATATTTCAGTTGTTTTCAACTTTGTGGATTAAATTGTTATTCGGTTTTGTATAATTCCAAAGAGTATGTTAAATTTTTAAAGATAAATGGATAACATTTAAATTTACAAATGCTGGTTATATGTAATACAAAACTGACTTAGTTTCCCAAAGAGTATGTTAAATTTTTAAAGATAAATCGATAACATTTAAATTACAAATACTGGTTATATGTAATACAAACCTGACTTAGTTTCCTCAAAATTTCGGGTCCGATACCTAAACCTTTAAAATAGAGAATGCAAAAATGAGAATAGCAGAAAAAGTAGCCCAAGTACAGATTCATGCATGTGCACTAGTTACAAATACAAGAGCTTCACATCTAATTTCTCCATACCCACAGACATATTCTTAGTGTTGCACTGTGGATTTCATATTTAGAAAAGAAGTTGGTTTGTTGGATTTTTTTTTTTAAGGATCAGTAAATAACCATGTCTTTCTCACCCTTTAAAGACAAGAGTATATCTCATCTACTACTCTCAACTCACCAATGAAGGAAGAAACAGAATTTTTTTTTTTTAGGGAAAGTATGTTGTGACAGTCTACTTAACTCAAGCCCTGAATAGAAAACAAGAAATCAAATATTTTTGAATCAAAATATAAAAAAAATAAGTGAAGGATGGAGATAAAACTCCATACCAATGATTTCGTTGATTTAGAGAAGAGGACACTGGGAAAGAATATCCTCTACCAATGTAGATCTGCAGTTCTGCAATTTATAGGTTTTGCGGGGGGGGGGCACTAAGAGGTAAGTGATGTGTCGGAAGCAAGACTTTGCCCCAGGTCTTCTTGTCTCTGAGACAAGTACTCTTCCACTATACCACAATGCTTCTCAAAACACAATTACAGGGGCAGCTAGGTGGTGCAATGGATAGAGCACCGGCCCTGAAGTCAGGAGGACCTGAGTTCAAATCCGGCCTCAGACCAAACACTTGACACTTACTAGCTGTGTGACCCTGAGCGAGTCACTTAACCCCAATTGCCTAAAACAAAAACAAAAAAAGCTCATAATTACAGTTCATTAATGTTCTATGTGTTGATGTGTAAATTCCATCTCTGACTCCTAAACCCCAAGTATAATTTTATACTTCCAAGTATCCAAATATATTACTCAATCCAGAGCCTGGTGGCCGTTATCTACTGACCTCTCTATGCCCTCAAGGTCATTCTCCCTCCTTCTTCAGTGAGTTAAAGAAGGCTCATAAGTCTTTCCACCCCAATGCTTAACCTCATGATATCAGGCAACTTCAGTCTTAATACTGATTTTCTTTTGGATACCCTAAATTATCAGTTCCTCAATCCTTTCTGTTACATCTTAGCTACACAAAGAGGTGATCATACCCTTGATCTTGCCATCATCCACAAGCATCCCAACTTTGATGTTTGTAAATTCTGAAATTCTTTTATCTGACCATAACCTTTTCTCATTCTATCTTTCCCTATTCCTTATAACTCCTAACCCCATTCTTTGTCCTCATTAGGACCTCCAGTATTTCTATCCTTCAGTACTTCCCCTAGCCACCACCTTTGTACTGACTGTACTGTCCTCCTTTCCTAATCTTGACACCTGGGTGCATGAGTTCAAGTCTGCACTATCCTCACAGCTGAATTCCTTGCCTCCTTGTCCTACTATCACTCATGTAACAAGTTGAAGGTGGCCATGGATGATAGGTAACACTTATTTCCTGGGAAAATGTGAAGCTTTATTCTATAGGCCTACTCCTATTGAGATTATTTACTGCCCAGGAAAAAGTGCCAATTAAAATTCTTTGGCAACACACAGCCAAAGATCTTAAGTAACTGAGGAAACTGGTAACAGAGATTGGCAATCAGTAATTCTAATTCACAGACTCATGCAGAGCATGGACATATGCTGCCAATGGATTCTAAGCAAAAGTTCATTTTGAAAGACTAATAGAACAAATTTTTGATAATAAAAATGAAAGCACTCAACCTTTTGCACACTCCATCTCTAGGCACTCTGACAGTAGGTTTCGCAATGTACTATTTCACCTATGATCCTTGGATTGGCAAGTTACTCTACCTGGAAGACTTCTATGTCATGGAACCTTTTCGAGGTAAAACTATCTCTCATCAATCAACAAGCTTTTATTAAATATTTACTAGGTTCCAGGCACTGTGATAAGGGCTGAGGATGCAAATACTGGCAAAAATAGTTCCTGGCCTCAAGGAGCTTACATTCTAATGGGGAAAGACAACATGTAAATAAATAGGTATTCTTTCTCTTTCTCTCGAAGATGGGGCTTGGAAAGGCCTCTTACAAGAGGCACTTCTGCTGAGTCCTGAAGGAAGCCAGGAGGTAGAAGTGAGGAGGGATAGCATTCCTAGCTAAAGACAGTACGGAAGCACAGCTAAGAGTGTTACGACTGTCATGTTTGCCAGTCAGCAGTGAGATCAGTACAGCTGGATTGGAAAGTACATGAAGAAGAGTAGAGTGTAAGAAGACTGGAAATGGAGAAAGAGGGTAGGTTGTGAAGACTGTTAAATGCCAAATGAGATTTTGTATTTGCTTCTTGAGGGAATAGGGAACCACTGGAGTTTATATTGGGTGTGTGTCTGAGGCTGATGTGGTCAGGACTACACTTAAGATCATTTTGTGGGGTGAGGAGAGACTTGATGCAAGGAGACCAATCAGAAGGCTACTGCACTTGTCTAGGCAAGCGGTGACAAGGACTTAAACTAGGGCTGTTATTATATGAATGGGGAGAAGTGGATATATAAGATGTCATAAAGGTATAAATGGCAAGCTTTGGCAACTGATGACACCAAGTTCTTAAATGTGACTGCTCTCAATAGTAAAAGTGAAGTTTAGGAGAAGGGTGGGTTTATGGAAAAGATGGGCTCTGTTTTGGACATGTCAAGTTTGAAATGCCTAACAGACTACTGGTGATGTGAGACTGAAGTCCAGGGGAGAAAATGAGCTTGGATATCAACATATAGGAGTCATCTCAGAGATGGGATCATCAGCACAAAGATGAGTTCCATGGGAGTTGATGAGGTCATCAAGTGAGATAGTGTAAAAAGAAAATAGGAGAGGGTCCAGGACAGAACCTTGTGGACATCTACAATTAGTGGGTATGCCATGAAGATATGACAGAGGAGAGTGAGAAACATCGAACAGTTAGAAGAACTAGAAGATGATAGTGCAGGAAAACCTGGAGAGCAGAGAATATCCAGGAGGAGAGGGTTATTAACAGCATCAAAAGCCACAGAAAGGCTGAGAAGGATGAGGAGTGAGAAAAGGCAATTAGATTGGACAATGAAGTGGTGATTGGTAACTTTGGAGAGAGCAGTTTCAATTGAATGAGGAAGTTGCAAGACAGATTGCAGAGGGTTTAGAAGAGGGTGAGAAAGGACGCAGAGCCACCTGGTGTTGGCAGCTTTCTGAAAGTTTCACTGAGAAGGGGAGAAGAGATATAGGATATTAAGAAGGGACATAGGGAAGTTTTGGAACATGTTGGGATATTTTGTAAGGATGGGGGAAACATGAGCACGTTTGTAGCCAGCAGGGAAGGAACCAAATAACAGAGACAGGGTGAAGATTAGTGAGAGAGTGAGGATGAGAATGGAGACAATCAATTGGAGAAAACAGGTGGGAATGAGATCAAGGGTAGACATAGTTTCCTTGCCAAGGAGAAAGGCATCCTTTTCATCCAAGACAAGTGAAGGAAATGGCAAGAGAGACATTTGAGTGATGAGGGGAAAAGGGGAAGCTCATGGCAAATGGCCTCCATTTTTCTGGTCTGGCTAGGTAGTGAGGTCCTTAGTGGAGAGGGTGGGAGGGCTGAGGAGAGATGAAGTTTGTAACAGCTGCTATGGTGAGTGGGATGGAGAATCAATTTCCTTGATGCAGGGGGAGGCCAGCTGAAATTGGAGAACATGAATCTGTAATGGACTTAACGTGGTTTTGTGACTTCCTCCAGCTCTATTCAGCACAATGTCAATAGGATCAAGGGAGATGAATACTTGAAAGTAAGCCACGATTGGGTCTTGGTGTTACATGAGTGATAGTAGGACAAGGAGGCAAGGAATTCAGCTGTGAGGATAGTGCAGACTTGAACTCATGCACCCAGGTGTCAAGATTAGGAAAGGAGGACAGTACAGTCAGTACAAAGGTGGTGGCTAGGGGAAGTACTGAAGGATAGAAATACTGGAGGTCCTAATGAGGACAAAGAATGGGGTTAGGAGTTATAAGGAATAGGGAAAGATAGAATGAGAAAAGGTTATGGTCAGATAAAAGAATTTCAGAATTTACAAACATCAAAGTTGGATGATGTTTGTAATGATGTGGATGATGGCAAGATCAAGGGTATGATCACCTCTTTGTGTAGCTAAGATGTAACAGAAAGGATTGAGGAACTGATAATTTAGGGTATCCAAAAGAAAATCAGTATTAAGACTGAAGTTGCCTGATATCATGAGGTTAAGCATTGGGGTGGAAAGACTTATGAGCCTTCTTTAACTCACTGAAGAAGGAGGGAGAATGACCTTGAGGGCATAGAGAGGTCAGTAGATAACGGCCACCAGGCTCTGGATTGAGTAATATATTTGGATACTTGGAAGTATAAAATTATACTTGGGGTTTAGGAGTCAGAGATGGAATTTACACATCAACACATAGAACATTAATGAACTGTAATTATGAGCTTTTTTTGTTTTTGTTTTAGGCAATTGGGGTTAAGTGACTCGCTCAGGGTCACACAGCTAGTAAGTGTCAAGTGTTTGGTCTGAGGCCGGATTTGAACTCAGGTCCTCCTGACTTCAGGGCCGGTGCTCTATCCATTGCACCACCTAGCTGCCCCTGTAATTGTGTTTTGAGAAGCATTGTGGTATAGTGGAAGAGTACTTGTCTCAGAGACAAGAAGACCTGGGGCAAAGTCTTGCTTCCGACACATCACTTACCTCTTAGTGCCCCCCCCCGCAAAACCTATAAATTGCAGAACTGCAGATCTACATTGGTAGAGGATATTCTTTCCCAGTGTCCTCTTCTCTAAATCAACGAAATCATTGGTATGGAGTTTTATCTCCATCCTTCACTTATTTTTTTATATTTTTGATTTCTTGTTTTCTATTCAGGGCTTGAGTTAAGTAGACTGTCACAACATACTTTCCCTAAAAAAAATTCTGTTTCCTTATTCTACTGGAAAAGCTGGTAACTACAGAAGCTCTCTCTGTAACACATGGGCTGTATGAACTCCCCATATGACCCCCTTTACTCCTATTTTACTACTGCTTTTTGTTGTACTTCATCTTATTGGCAGAGTCGAGTCGGTATGAAAACAATTAAAGGGAGTGTATCTTACCTGTCAGCTCTGCCTCATCTGGTACTTCTGCAATAAGACAGTAATAAAGAGGGTGGTCCCCAAAGCCATCTTTGAGTAAATCTGAAAGGTCAATCCACATACAGAACCTCTTCTATGGTGCATGGGCTTTGTCATACTAAAGGGGGAACAAAATGAAAAGGCCAAACCGAGGAAGATTTGGAGATGAATATTGTTCAGAGACTACACTGAGGTTGTAGCAGACTGGGAATAGTACAAAATGTTTCTAGCATCACATAACTCAAGTGCCTATCTTATGCCAAATTGTATTTTCTAGACTATAGTGAGCTACCCATTTGGGTACACTGTTTCCATAAGGATCCATTCCTTTCATTTCAGTGAAACATAAGAGAAGATCTGACCTGTAACTGCTAAGCATAATACCCTGGATTGCCACCTTGGGTTAGACCTACTGTCCCTGTGGAGGTCCAGTATTCTAGCAATGTCACCAAGACACATGCAAGAGGAAATGTCAAAGTGTAGTCTCACCCCTCCCCCCCAAAAAAAGAAAAGCGTAGGTTCCTTCAGTAACATTGTGTTTTTGTCAGCCAGCTTTTGTCTGAAGCTTTATGGAAACTATATTACCAGCTCATACCATGTATATGAAATCATACTTTTTGTCTGAAATCTAACCTAAAGTTTCAGTGACGGGGAAGGGAATCTTTTTTTCTAATACTTTAGGATTTGGTGATTAAATTCGGTGTTCATCTGATCCATGATGTTGAGGATTTTTTAGTAATACATCAGTGTCAGGTTTTTTTATTTCATTGGTGTGGGAACTCCCTCCACTAATGTGTACTGCAACCCATCCATGCCTTAGAAAAGACATCATAGTTGCTTGAGATTCACTGAGGTAAAGTGACTTGCCAGTAAATGGAAGATGGAGTTGGAACACAGCTTTTCATGGCATCCTCCCCACAATGGGACACTAGTTCTTTATAATAATAACACCCTTTTAGTTGTGCTTTATGCTATCATTTAGCCCCTCCACACCACAGCCTTCAATATTTCATATTGAAGAATTCTAATCTTTGATTTAATCTATAGCTAGATTTACTATAGTACAGCAATGCATTTACTCTCGTGATGGAAGAAGGAAGATACTCTTCCTGGTGGTGGTAAAGGGTACCTCTCTGAGGTCCCTTTGCATTAGATAAGTGCATTTACTTCTTTAGGTTTATCAGCCTCTCTCAAGTTATGTAGCTTGCAAATAACAGGGTTTTCCGGGCTATCTTCACACCAGCCAAAAGAGAGGGAAAGGCAATAACACTCATGTTTCTGTAGCACTTGATGACGTATGTAGCATTTTGCTAACGATAATCAAATGAGATAGGCAGTATTTTAAATATCTCCCTTTTACAAATGAGAGAACTGAGATTTTGGGGAAGGGACTTGCTTAGAGATATGAGTGTCACTTGGACTCCAAATGCAACACACTCTGCACTGTAGCATGGTGTGTAGTGAAATAGTGACTGGTTACCCAGCGAGCAGCAGAGAAACAATATGGGCCCTGGAAATGCAGAAGCTAAAGTTTCCCAGCCTAACTTAGAGCTTCTGTCTGGGGAGAGTGCTAGCAGGTGTTAGAAACCTACCAGCAATCCTGTAGCAATTATGTAAGCCAGTGCACTTTGAGTCCACATTTCCTCACAAAAGCCCTATGGGGGAGAGGTAGGGAAGGCAACTATCATTATCCTTGTTTTGCAGATGAGAAAAATAAGGCTGAAGGAGAGAAAATTACTTTCTTGAGGTCATAGAGCTTGTTAGCATAGTTAGAGCCTGAACCTGAACCCTGATCTCCATGTTCCTTAGCCCTGGGCTCCTCCAATTCACCATTATGCCTAGTAAATATAAATGAAGGGCAATACGTTGCAAATAAAATAGCATGCCCTTTAGAAATGCCTGATGTCAGTAGCGCATACAGAGGACAGCGGAAATGGCGGATTCCATGGATATAAACTATGAGCTTACTTGACCTTCACTTTTCAGTCTCTGGAAATCCCATATCATACCTTACCTATAATGGTTAACTTCACAGCATCAAGAGCATTTCCATAAGCAGCCAATTCCTGTCAAGGAGAGAAGTGATTCACGTTATGATTTTGTAAGTAGTTCTCGAGGATTACATCATCATCATCATCATCATTTGAGAGATTTTACATTTTTATGTAGTGGGGTGTTTTGCAATGGACAAAGTGAGTGAAGATTTACCCCAGCCCTCCAAAAGCTGATAATTTATAATGGTCCCAACAAATATGGAGAGCATATATAGGAAAAGAATTCGTAAGTCCATTTTAAAATAACTGCAACTCCTCTTCTCCAGAGGCCTCCTCTGCTACCTTACTATGGTATGCCCTGGAGGCGATTCTGAGCTCTCAAAGGCTAGCCAGTGAAATTCATGCTCTGATAGATGGAAACCCCACCACTATAATGTGTCTGTCACCTGTGGACCAACTTAGCTAAGGCTGACCACAAGGGAATGACTTATGTTGACCATGAGAACTCTGAGGCCATCTTCTAAGGTGTAAAAAGGGTTCTACCTTGCATCACTGGATCCTTGAAGTAATGCCTGAATTATCCAGAGGGAACCTAGCTAAATCTCAGCTCTCCAGAATATATTAAAGAACTGAGGAGGGTTTTCTTAAGGCCCCTCAGCCGTCAAACTAGATGGCATAAAAATCCATACATTTAAAAGCTCAATAATTTTATCAGACCCTTTAGATCACACTTACTCATGTTTATGTAGAGTTCCAACAAGTGTGTGGTTATCAGTTTTCACAGCTCACAGTAGATTAGAAGTAGCAGCTGGAGGCTGGGAGGTGGGGCAAGGCAGAAGGCAGGACTGAGGATTGCTAAAGAGTAGCATGCTAACAGCCGCAAAAAGTGGCAGCTGGGAGCTTGACAGTGGAGGGAGAGACAGGAAAACCGTCTAGTAGACCCAAGGACTCAGAAGGCAGCTTGTGGTCATTTTGTGTAGGGACCAATAGCCCTCAATCCTTGCTTAGCCCCTAACAACATGAATGGATTTCAATAAAGAGATCGTATGTTACAATTGAGTTGCCAACTTGCATCACTACAGGAAGATTCTACACTGTTGAGGTCCCCAAGCTGATGAAATGATAATGACTGATGTTCATAATGATCTTAGATTCCAAGCTGGAAGGGACTTTAGACATCATCTATGCCAGCTCCTTCATTTCGAAGATGAGGAAGTGGGCCCAGAACACCAGTGACTTGCCCAGGGTAATAAGTGGCAGACACACTGACTTCAAGCCTAGTGTTCTTTGCATTTTATCATGAAGAAAAGAGGAAATCATGCCTAAGAATGATTTTTGCCAAGAAGACTGGAAAACATGGTAAGCTTCAGTTATCAGGAAAATACACTCATTTCCCCAGTGAGGCCAGACGAATGCAGCATTACTCTAGGTCAGGAGTGGGGAATCTGTGTGGCCTCAAGGCCACATGTGGCCTTCTAGATTCTCAACTGTGGCCCTCTGACTCCAAACCTCACAAAACAAATCCCCTTAATGGAAGGATTTGTTCTGTAAAACGTGGACTCAGTCAAAAGGCCGCACCCAAGGACCTAGAAGGCCACAGCTTCCCCACCCCTGCTCTAGGTCCAACATGTGTTTGTGCTGGTGAAGGTGGAGAGACAAGATGTTATGCTTGTTTAAATATGGGTCTGGGAAAAGTTATCAACCTGTGTTTGAAACGTGGCAGGGGGAAGAGAGGGAGGGGCAGCAGCTGAGGGGAGGGAAGACACTCCAGACTTGAGACATACCTTAGGAGAAGCATAGGTCTAGATGTAACAAAGGGAAATGAGGTGATTGAATATCCTGGGAGGCAGCATGTACAGAGATAAGGGCCCCTGGTCCCCCACAGAGAGATGGACCCATCGTGGACAGGTACAGAGATAAGGCGGGTGGCACCACCATCACCACCACCACCCCCGGCTGAGGGCTTTGTTTGGAACCACAAGACCTGGATCTGCTTGATCCCTTCCAGATTCAATGGAAAAATCCTACCCGGCTACAAAGATGAGATGGTGTAGGCAAAGCAAATGATGGCCGGGATGGCAATATTTTAAGTGTCCAATCAATGGGCCATCTTGTCAGGGGCAAAAGACCATGTGACCCACTTCTTCATCAGAATAAATGAGGATGGTACTACTTTTGACAAGACACCCATGAGGTGATAGTGGTTTTGAAAGTGTATCTTAAGTACGTTCTTCATGCTAAAAACATTATCATAAGCTTCCCTCCACTCTACTACCCCCTAATGCTGCTACACACCCTCTTACTCTTTCCTCCCAAGTTTCTAGGAAGTAGACTCAAATACACCTGCTACTATCCCATACTCACTCCTAAGCTGTTTGAAATCTTCCTTCTTCCTTCACTATCCTACTGACACTGTTCTCTCCCAGGCCACAGTGACTCAATCCAAGGACTTGTTAGCTTTGACATCTGTCATGCATGATACTGACTGATCGTGGTTCACCTGTCTGTCCTACTGCTTCATACATACATCCCTTCATACACACGTCACCAAATAGCCTTGGCCCTCTTTTCTGTTTTTACTCTCTCCCTCAATTATCTCATCCAACCTGGCAGATGACTCCCAAATCTTTATCCCCAATTCCAACTTCTCTCCTGAGCTCAAGCCCCATATTTACCACTGACAGCTGAGCTACGTCCTGTCAGTACCTCAAATTCAGGATGTCAGAAATTGAACTCGTCATCTTCCCTCTCTGCCTGTCCAAACCAAGTCCTTATTTCTGTTTATAGTACTACCTTTCTCCTAGTCACCTAGGTCCCAAACCTCTGTTCTTTCCCTCGCTGCCCCTCCCCCAATCACAATCAGTCAGTCTCTAATTCCTACCAATAGTTGATTTTTCCTTGTTGAATCTGGTCACTGGTTGTAGACATGACCTCTGAGTCCATGGAAATAGATTAAAACCAAGATATATAAAGCCAGGCCTCATAGTTCTATTGCTACTTCAGCTGGGTCTAGAGTTTTCAAAGGATCTTTCCATGCCATAGGAAACATGACCATACATGGTCACAGGTTCTTAATTGCCCTGATGAGAGCTGATGGGGCAGCATCAGTCAATTCGGCTATCGTGTTTTCCTGGGATCTGTGTAACCCCAGTCCCCTGCTTCTGCTTCATAAAAGAATAAGTGCTGGATGGATTATATGGTCACTCTGGAGTGCAGGATAATTTCAGTACAGCTTCCATAATTCTAGTGAATGAAATGTTTTACTCTAGCTATTTAAATATTTTATTTGCTTTTTGGTGAGGCAGTGGGGGTTAAGTGACTTGCCCAGGGTCACACAGCTAGTAAGTGTTAAGTGTCTGAGGCTGGATTAAGAACTCAGGTCCTCCTGACTCCAAGGCCAGAGCTCTATTCACTGCGTCACTTAGCTGCCCCTAAATATCTTATTTCTAACGAATCAGCTGATTATTTTCAGACCATCCAAAGTCACTTCCCTCAAACGCAGCTATTTCATTTGTGGACAGCTCTAATTATCAGGCATTGTTTCCCTTTTCTCAAGCCTAACTTTGCTTTTCTACAATTTCCATCCGTTGTTCCAAGTTCTGTCTTCTGTGACTCACCAGAGCAAGTGAAATGCCTCTTCCCCTGGATTGGCCTTCAGATACTTGAAGACTGTTATCCTTTCTGTCTTTCCCAAGTCTTATTTTCTCTAGCCTAAATATCCCCAGTTCCTTCACCTGATCCTAATATGGCATGAACTAGAGCAGTGGTGGGGAACCTGGGGCCTCAAGGCCACATGTGGCCCTCTAGGTCCTCAAGTGTGGCTGAATCCAGACTTCACAGAACAGGTCCTTCCTTGAATGTGGCCTTTTGACTGAGTCCAAGTTTTACAGAACAAACCCTTTTATGAAGGGGATTTGTTCTGTGAAGTTTGGATTCAGCCACACTTGAGGACCTAGAGGGCCACATGTGGCCTTGAGGCCCCAGGTTCCCCACCCCTGAACTAGAGGCTCTTCACCATTCTGGTTGCCTTTCTTTGGATGTGTTCCAGACTGTGTTATTGTTCTCCCTAAACATGTCACACCTAGAAACTAAACACATTTGTGTGTTGAGTAGGGCAGGGCAAAGTGTAGCAGTACTATCACCTCCCAAGTCCCTGAACATGGTATTTCCATTTGTGCCACTTAAAATTTCATTCATGGGGGAGGGGGGAGTTTCTTGTCTCATGATGCAAATGAAGCTTGGGGGGATTAGTGAATCCCCCCCCCCAACACACACACACACATATCCTTTGCCCATATTGCCTAGCCAGACTTTCTTCATAATGTACTTGTGAAGATCTATGGAATTCCCAAAAGTGGTTCTTAACATTTGCCCCCATTCATCTTACTAGACTTGGCCCACTGGTCTGACCTTTGAGTGTCTCTCTGGATCTCAAGACTCTGTTATCCAATAATGGGGTATTAGATATTTCTTTCTATATCTGAGTTGTGTGAAAATTTGCTAAGCCTGCCTTCTTTGTCTTTCTCCAAGTCACTGATAAAAATATCAATCACATTAGGCCCAAAGACAGACCCCCCCACCCAGAGTGCTACACTCAGAGGGAAATGACAGTATGACCTCCATATACATTTGATCAAATATTTCACTCGATTTGTGTGTTGACATATGTAGCAACTGATGTACCTTTTGCTTATGTCGCTGTTTAAGTGTATCAGTGTTAACAATACAGAAAAGATGGGGCAGCTAGGTGATGTAGTGGATAGAGCACCGGCCCTGGAGTCAAGAGGACCTGAGTTCAAATGTGACCTCAGACACATAACACTTATTAGCTGTGTGACTCTGGGCAAGTCACTTAACCCCAATCACCTCACCAAAAAAAAAAAAGATACAGAAAGGATTCTGGGTTAGGGCCCCTGGATAGGAGGCACTGCCATGTGGTGAAAAGATACCAAGCCTTTAATCCTGGAAGAGACTGAGTTAGTGGTCCCTATGGTTAGCTCTGTCTTGACCTTAGGATTCCTGCTGGCATCTGTGATTATCTGAAAACCAACTCCCATCAAACAACCAGTGTGGGATAATATTCCCCACGTTCTCCTGTTTGAAGAAGGCTGGAAGAATCATGGGTTACTTCAAAGATGGAGCCCAGGTGTTCATGCTCTTCCTGGCTGCCCTCTTAGCACTGTGCCACTGTACACGCTAGCTCTGGACCCACCCCCCCCCCTCCCAATCACCTCTACAGGGGACAAGGACCATCTCCCTTAATTCTCTGCTTTCCTGATCCCAGTCACTTCTTTTGGAAGGGGGCACTTGCTATCACCCCTGGCTCTGAACCTACCAGGGCAGAGCAGGGGTCATTGCCCTTATGCCTGAACCTGCTACCTTCCCTCTCTCACCTCTGAAGGGAGGCAGGGGCCATCATCCTTAGCTTTGGATCTGGCAGCCTCTCACTCCCCTCTCAGCTATGGACTTGCCTCCTCCCAGGATCTGCCCTGGCAGGGCAGGGCCATCACCCTAAGCTCTGCAGGGGGCAAGGATCATCTTCCTTAACTCTGGACCTGCCCTCCTTGTACCCTGGGGGGGGAGGGGCCTAGCTTAACTCCTGACTTGCCACCTTCTGACTCACCTGGGGGGAGGGATGTGCTACAACCATCATCCTTTTCTGCGCATGCCACCTCCCAGCAAAGACATACCTCTCTTCAGGTGTTACCCCTACTGGGTAATTCTAGAACTGCCTCCCTCTCCTCTCTGCAGGGGGTAGGGGCCATTGCCAATATCTTTGCACCTCCTGTCCCCTCCCTCACCCCTCAGAGGGAGCCCGGGGCTTAGCTATGTAGCTGCCACCTCCCAGCACACCTTGGGCGCCTTCCCCCCAAACTTAGGACTTGCCTCTCTCTGGGCCACCTGTCTGTGGGGGCACAGTCATATGCTGCTCTCTTGGCAGGGGGTGGAACAGCAAGGGGAAGGGGGAAAGGGCCATCTTGTTTACCTCCTAACCTGCCACCTTCTGACTCATCTCTGGGGGGGGGGGCAGGAGTCTTTAGCTGAGGACCTGCTGCTCCTTTGCACCTATTGTGGCAGGGCAGGAACCATGGCCCTTAGCTGTAGACCTGTTACCTTTCACTAATCTTTCTGCAGGGACCCATGGGTCCTGAGTTGTGGACCTACCACCTCTCAGGACCCCTAGGGAAGGGGGCCCATAGGCCATCCCCCTTAACTCTGAACTGGCCCAGCTCCCAGCCACTGCCCTGTGGGGGGGTCCAGGAGCCATGCCCTTAGTTCTGGACCTGATGCCTCCTCGAATCCCTCTCTGTGGAAGTCATGGGCCATTTCCTGACACCATTTGACTCACTTTGAGGGGGAGGAATCTTCCTTAGCTATGGATCTTCCCTCACCTCACTGCTAAGGGCCAGAAACCCTTATCTCTCGACCTGCAGCATCCCTGCAGAGTGTGTAACTGGGTACCTGGCCCCCATAACTCGGCAACTGCCCTTCTCCCTCACCTCTCTGTGGGCAGCAGGGCCCCATAACCTTAAGCTCTGTATCTGCCCCCCTTCCTGCTTATCTCTATGATGGTGGGGTGGCAGGTCGGGGGCCATCACCCTCAGCTCTAGTTAGTTCCACTCCTTAGCTCATCTCTCTGCAGAGAGCAGGAGTTGTCTCCCTTAACTCTGGACCGACTCACCTTCTGACTCACTTCTAGGGAAGAGGATGCTACAGTCATCCCCCTTAGCTCTGGACCTGCCACCTTCTGATTTCGCTTTTCTGCAGGGCTGCTAGAAGCCTTTAGCTCTGGACCTGCCACATGCTTGAACCTATCCTGGCAGGGTAGGGGCCATGGCCCTTAGCTGTCACCCTCCAATTCATCTTGCTATGGGGGACCAGGGGCCATTAGCTGTGGACTTGTCACCTCCCCATACATAGCAGACCCTGGGTGGGGGGATTAGGGGTCATCACCTTTAACCACGGACCTGCCACCCTATTGTTCACCTCTGCAAGAGGGGGCAGGGGCCATTGCCCTTATCTCTTGACCTACGAACTCATTGCCTCTCTGTGGGGAGCCAGGGGAATCTTAGCTGTGTACCTGCAGCATCCGTGCAGAGGCATACCTCTCTGCAGGGAATGTGCCCACAGGGATGGCAATGGCCCTTAACCCTGGAACTGCCCTCCCCTGCAGGGGACAGGGGCCACTCCCTTAACCTTGGACCTGCTACCTTCTGGTTCACCATTCTTCGGGAGGCTGGGGCCAAAGGTGTTACCTCTGGACATTTTCACTCCATAGCCCATGTCTTCAGGAGGGGGCACTTCTACTTTCACCCTCAACCGAACCTCCTACTCACTTCTCAGTTCAGGGCAGGCCCTTATATCTTGCCCTGCCCTCTCCTGGCATAATTCTCTGTGGGGGGACAGGGGCCTTGAGCTGTGGAATTCCTGCCTCCGTACAGCTATCCTGACAGGTAGGGGATCTTTGCCCATAATTCTAGACCTGCTACCTTCTCATTCACACCTACCCCTTTTAACTAAAACTGCCCTGCCTCCCTCCATTCTGTGGGGTAGGGGGCGAGTGGAAGCAGGGGGTGGCATGCACTATATCCCTATGCTCTTGACATTTCACCTCCTGGCTCAACTCTCTGTATGCCTGGGGACCTTGGCTGTGTACCTCCTGCCTTCAGGAATACCCTTCTTGTAGGGGCAGGAGCCATGGCCCTCACCTCTGGATTTACCCCACTCCCACTCACCTCTCTGGGGGTAGTCAGGGGTGCTTAGCTGTATACCTGCTGCCTTTTCATATACACTTCTTGGGGGGGACATGAGCCTCGGCCCTTAGCTCTGCATTTGCCCGACTCTCACTCACCTCTCTGGGGGATCCACGGCCCTTAGCTGTGTACCTACTGCCTTTATGTATACCCTTCTGGGGGGGGGCAGACAGGAGCCATGGCCCTTATCTCTGGATTTGCTCCACTGTATGTCATGTCTCTGTGGGGAGTCCTGGGCCCTTAACTGTGTATCCACTGCTTTCAGGGATACCCTTCTTGGGGGTATGGGAGCCATGGCCCTCACCTCTGGATTTACCCCACTCCCACTCACCTCTCTGGGGGTAGTCAGGGGTGCTTAGCTGTGTACCTGCTGCCTTTTCGTATACACTTCTTGGGGGGGACATGACCCACGGCCCTTAGCTGTGGATTTGCCCCACTCTCACTCACCTCTCTGGGGGGTCCATGGCCCTTAGCTCTACACCTACTGCCTTTAGGTATACCCTTCGGGGGGGGGGGACAGGAGCCATGGCCCTTATCTCTGGATTTGCTCCACTGTGTTTCATGCCTCAGTGGGGAGTCCTGGGCCCTTACCTGTGTATCTACTGCTTTTAGGGATACCCTTCTTGGGGGTACAGCAGCCATGGCCCTGAGCTCTAGATTTGCACCACCCCCATTCACCTCTCTCTAGGGGTCTGAGACCATTAACTGTGTACCTACTACCTTTAGCTATACCCTCCTTGGAGGAGCTGGGCAGGAGCTATGACCCTTAGCTCTGGATTTTCCCCACTCCCAGTCACCTCTGTATGGAGCGTCCGGGTCCCATACCTCCTTACCTGCTGCTTTGGGCATCAGAGGCAGGAACCATGGCCCATGGTTCTGGATTTGCTCCACTCCCACTCACCTCTCTGTGGGGGTCCAGGGCCCTTAGCTGTACTTGCAGATTTTAGGGATACCCTTCTTGGGGGTACAGGAGCCATGGTCCTTAGCTCTGGATTTGCAGACTCAACTCTCTGTGGAGGATCCCAGGCCCTTAACTGTGTACCTATTGCCTTTAGGTATAGCCTTCTTGGGGTAAGCAGGAGGCATGGCCCTTAACTCTGGATTTCCCCCACTCCCACTCCCACTCTCTGTGGGGTATCCGGAGCCCTTAACTGTGTGCCTACTACCTTTAGCTATACTCCTCTTTTGGAGGGGGGGCAGGAGCCATGGCCCTTAGTTCCGGATTTGCCCTACTCCCACTCACCTCTCTGGGGGTAGTCAGGGGTGCTTAGCTGTGTACCTGCTGCCTTTAGGTATACCCTTCTAGGGTGGGGGGGCAGGAGCCATGGCCCTCAGCTCTGGATTTGCCCCACTCCCTCTCATCTCTTTGTAAGGGGTCCGGGTCCCTTACCTGTGTACCTGCCTTTAGGTATACCCTGGGGGGGGGGCAAGAGCCATGGCTCTCAGCTCTAGATTTGCCCCACTCACCTCTGTGGGGGGTGTTTGGGGCCCTTAGCTGTGTACCCGCCCCTCCCTACACTTCTTGTTGGGCAAGGGTCATCACCCCTAACTCTGACCTTGCCACCTTTCTGCTCACCTGTCAGTTCAGGGCAGTGCTCCTTCCTTCACTCTGGCACTGCCACCTCAGGCCCACCTGTTGGCAGTTTGCCCCCAGCTTGTCCCCACCCACTGTCAGGGGCAGCTTACTTTGATGAGCCTCAGGATGTCAGGGCAGTCTTGGGCTCGGGCTGGCCGAACTCGAAATGTGCTCATGACCTGGGTCCCGAGTGAAGCCTCTGCTGCCTTCTCTTCCTCTCTGCCTGTCTGGACCACGACTTCACTGGGCTTGGTCTTCCCTGCGATAATGGTAGAGGCTGGGGCCGATTCCCCAGCCTAGGATGACCAGGAGTGGAAGGGTTTGAGATAACTAGGAGGAGTGGGAGGAAGAGGAGGGGAGGGCAGCCTGAGTTTTGGAGGTGGCAGAGGCAGTCTGTGCGGGAGAATGGAGCACTGGAGTAGCCCCGCCCCCGGGTAGCCCCGCCCCTTGCCTATTGGTAGCCTGCAGTGACAAAGGCGATCGCTAGGCGACGCTCTTTATACTCTCTGACCAGCGGAGACTCTGGTCAGAGCGGTCTGGAGCTGGGAGGGAGGAGGAAGGCGGGAAGCTTGCTCCGCCTCCGGGTGCTCGCAGAGCGCGATTTTTGAGGTAATTTTAAGGGGCCCCACTCAGGAACCTAAACAGAGAGCCCCGCAAGAGGCCACCTGCAGTGTCCATGTCCCTCCGGCCTCGACATTTTCTTTTCCCCTCTAGTTTTCCGTAATCCCCATGTTGGTAAAATGGCCTAGGTTAACCTTCAAGGCCTTTCAAGTTCTACTAGTCAAGTAGCCTGTGATTCAGAGGCCCTGGGTCCAAATCCTAGCTCAGCGCCTTACTTTTTCTTGGGTAAGTAACCGTCCTTTTTTAGGGCCTCAGTTTTCTCCTCTACACAATGCGAGGGGCGGCCTAGATCCTCTAAAGACACCTTTTAGCGCCGTAGTTCAGAGGACCTGGGTTCAAATCCTAGTTCTGCCACTTATTTTAGGTAAGTACCCTAACCTCCCTGGGCCTCAGTTTCCTTATTTGTAAAATGAGAATGGCTTTCATGACCTCTGAAGTCCGTTCTGGCATGTAATATGTTCACAGTTTTATAATGCAGAGCACCTGGGTTCAGATTTCAGCTCAGCTACTTGGTGAACGACCTTGGTTAAGTCTCCTAACCTCCCTAGGCCTCAGTTTCCTCATCTGTAAAATGAGGAGGTTGACCAAAATGACTTTATTTAAATCCTTTCTAGCCTTAATAGTCTGCGGTTCTGTAGTGCAGAAGACCTGAGCCGAGCCACTTACTGTGTGACCTTGGGTAAGTCACCTTCACCTCTCAGAACCTCATTCCCCTCTTCTGCACAATGAAAGGGGAGACTCAGATGACCTCTAAGGGCCTTCCCAATTCTGCTAGTCTACAGTTTGGTGGTACCAAGGACTTGGGTTCAAATCCCAGTTCTTCCATAGGTGACCTTAGGTAAATAAGTCCCCTAGCCTGCCTGGGCCTCAGTTTCCTCATCTGTAAAATGAGGAGGTTGGCCTAGAGGACATTTAAGGTTCCTTCTAGTTTTAGTGGTCTGTAGTTCTGTAGTACAGAGGACATGGGTCCAAATCCCAGCTCAGCCACTTAGTGTGTGACCTTGGATGAGTCACCTCTCTAGATTCTGTAAGATTGGGGCGGGGAAAGAGGGTACAGATGACCTCTTAAGGGCCCTTCCAGCTCTATTACTTTATGATTCTGTACTGCAGATAACCTGGGTTTCAAATTCCAATGATTGCTACTCTTTCCTGGGTAAATCACATAACCTCTGTGGTTCTTACTTACCTCTACCTCATCTGTAGATTAAGGCATTAGCCTAGATGCCTTGTACATCCTACTTGTGTGTGATTCTGAGGTACAGAGGACCTGACTTCAGATCTCAGTTCTACCACTTACTGCCTTGTGTGACTTTGAATAAATCACCTAACCTCCGAACCTCAGTCTATCTAACCCTCTCTGTAAAATGGGAGGTTGGGGGAGGGGACATGTGGCCCTTCTAGCTCTATTAATTTATGATTCTGTAGTATGGAGAATCTGGATTCAATCTTAGCTCAGCCATTCTCTACTTGACCTTGGGTAAATCACATAATCTCTCAGAGTAGGGCTTCAGTTTCCTCTTCTATAAAGTGATCAGGTTGGACGACATGATCTCTACATCCCTTCCAGTTTTTTCATTCTGTTATTCTGTGAAAAATTATTTGTGCTGTTGTCTAAGGAAAGTCACACAGCCTTGTCACCTTGTAGTTTCCAGTGGGGTTGGAGATGAAAGGCTGAAACAGGCATACAGCTTCTTTTTCACAATCCTCTCAGGATAGATAGTTCATTGATGGGGAGTATCTTTGGGTGGTTTAGTTTCTAGGAGAGGCCTCATAAATGTGGCCTTTAAAAATTGTTGGTGGGGGGGCAGCTAGGTGGCGCAGTGGATAGAGCAACGGCCCTGAAGTCAGGAGGACCCGAGTTCAAATTCAGCCTCAGACCAAACACTTGACACTTACTAGCTGTGTGACTCTGGGCAAGTCACTTAACCCCGATTGCCTAAAAAAAGAAAAGAAAAAGAAGTTGGTGGACTTCAAGAAGACTCATATGCCCCAGCACTTGGGAGCTTTGGGGTGGAAGGGTTTGAGATAACTAGGAGGAGGAGTGGGATGAAGAGGAGGGGAGATGGGGAAGCCAGGGCAGGGGAGGGGGGAGAGGGAGAGAGAGGAGGGCAGCCTGAGTTTTGGAGGTGGGAGGGGCAGTCTGAGTGAGAGAATGGAACACTGGAGTAGCCCCGCCCCGAGGTAGCCCCGCCCCCTGCCTGTACTGTAGCCTGCAGTCACAAAGGCGGTCGTGAGGCGACGCTCTTTATATTCTCTGACCAGTGGAGACTCATTATACGACCTTCGTTAGGTCTCATTTAGAGCTCATTTTGGACCAGTTTTAAATTTCTCACAGAACTGTTATCAGAATCAAATCAGAGACAGTCTCTATAGTACTAACTTGGAGGCCTTAAAATGATGGTATATTATGGGCAGCTAGGTGGCGCAGTGGATAGAGCTTTGGCCTTGAAGTCAGGAGAACATGAGTTCAAATCCAGTCTCAGACACATGACTCCTACTAGCTGTGTGACCCTGGGCCAGTCACTTAACCCTGATTGCTTCCCAAAAAAAAGCATAAAATAAAATGATGCTATGTTATTTATTCTAATCCCTTCTTTTAAGATATAGAATCTATAGAGGTGGGGAACCACATGTGGCCTTCTAGGCCCTCGGGTGTGGCCTTTTGACTGAGTCTAAGTTGTACAGAACAAATCCTTTTATGAAGGGGATTTGTTGTGTGAAGTTTGGATTCTGTCTAAGGGCTGCAGTTGAGGACCTAGAAGGCCACATGTGGCTCAAGGCCAAAGGTTCCCCATCCCTGGTATGGATTACATATTACTAAATATGTGATACACTAAACATTTCTTCTAAATACCTATTTTTCAAAGGGGAATGCCACTGTCAGTGTGAATTCAAATATACTCAGAACTACACATTCGTTCTTACAACTGCTTATTCAGGCAACTGGCCCCACTTTAGAACCTCTCTGAAGGCAGAAAGAGCATCTTCTCAGTGTTGTATGTATGGAGCTGTTCAGTAAGTGTAATTGCATTCTTGTTTAACGATGTTAACTGCAGTTTAAATTAAAAAAAAAAAAACAACCGATACCATTCTTGGCCACGAGGTGGTGGCATTATTACTTGTTAGCCGCTCAAATCCCTACCCATACAAAACTAAAGTTGAGTCAGTTACAAAGTGACTTTTATGCACTCCTCAGTTCTCTAGACCCTAAACCTGAACTCTGTCAATGCCATAATGATGTCACAGAAGCTGTAATCAGTGACTAATTTGGCTTCAGAACACTTGGGGCATAAACCAAGGGCACACAGTCTACTAAATCTAGCTCCTATTTCAGCAATTTCAAAGGAAAGATTTCATTTCTTTTCATATCTAACAGTGCTTTTCTCCACAGTGCTATCTAGGTACAGGAAGAGTATTCATAAAACTGTCACTGCATTGTTCTTGTTAAATATATTACCATCTCAGACCTCATACCTGCAAAGCTGGGGGTATGAAATACCCTTCAATAAAGGGAAAGGTGGTATCAGGGAAATGTTGTAGGAAATACAAAGAAGTAAGTATCTGTTTTCATATTGCCACCTCAAATGGTCACATCTCCTAAATATTTGTATTTCTGATTTTTGACACTGAATTTTGTTTTTAGTATTCTAGATGGAGAAGTATCACATTGAAATTTTCTCATAGAGCCCCAGAACTTAGTAGAACCCAGTGTGGCAGAAGCTTGTATGAGAGAATGTTTGGTTTGATTTTTAAATCTTATTCCTTCTCAGTCTCATTTTCTACAATATTTATGTTAACTGAAGATAAGAATTTTGTCTCAAATAGATCGTTACTGAATATAAACCAGGAATACATTCTGCTAAGTTGAGTTTTGATTTCAAATTTTGGTTATTCCTCTCCCTGCAGCTCTACCAAAGATTTAGCCACCACCAGGTAGGTGAGGATTGTTTGGGGCTGTTTGTTAAGGGTCTGAAGCGGTGACCTGGGCCCAGACAGATGAAATCACAGCTCCCTGGTGCTGACACACGGCTCCCAAATTGCTGACTTCACGCCTGAAGCTACCAGGCAGAATCTGGTGTCTTTAATTGTAATTCGAATTTGATTCAGTTAAGTGAATACCATCATCATGAAACCCAAAAAACTCTCAATCCCAACTTTAAATCAAGCACATTTTTTGTAAACAAAAATGACCAAAAAAGTGAGCCAGGGTAGTGGGTATGACCAAGATCTGTGGGATGACCTTCCATATTTACACTGTATGTATCTTGTGTGTACTTTAGGGCTTTGTATTCTGTTTCTCCCATTAGACTGTGGGCTGCTGAAGGACAAGGACCTTGGTTTTGCCTTTCTTTGTATCCTAAGCTTAGCCTAGTGCCCACCACATAGTAAATAGTTCATAAATGCTTGCTGACTGATTGACGACCCAACACTATTCGAAGAAACCCAGCTTCGAAGTAAGTTATGTTTGATGCTTGGGAAAAGATTCTCTCTCTGCACACATGTTTCTTCAAATACCTAGTGAGGAATGTAGGCTAAACTTTTCCTTCCATGTTAAAAATGTCAATTGCAACCTAATTCCACACTCATTCTTAAGGAGGATCTGAGGAAATGGACAGGGAACTATTCTCAAAAGGGTCTTAGAGACCACTGATAATGATTTGGCTGTTTTTAAGGTTTTAGTCACCTTACTCTCATTTTAATAAGCCTTTGAGATTAAACTTTGCCTCTTCAAAACAATAAAATGAATGTCCTTAAGTCTTTCTCTGCTTCCTCAGTAGAGAAGTGGCTAGAGAGTGGACCTGTGATTTCATTGATCAAGGGAACTCCTAGGTGAGGACACTCCCTCCACCAATGTATCTCTGTGCCTTCTCTGCAATTTCTAGTCTTCAAGAGCTTTGAGAAGGTAAGTGAACTTGCCCAAGGTCACGCAGTCAGTATGTGTCAGAGGCGAAAGTTGAAGTCTTTCTGGCTCTAAGGCTTTATCCACTCTCCCCTGCTGCCTGGTAGAGAAGAGCTTCTTAAACATTTTTCCACTCATGAGGTCTTCGGCGCTTCTTCAGCTGTGGGTTGCGACCCCATATGGGGTGGGTTTAGAGCACTGACCCTGGCTTTTTGAAGGCAGAGTACTAGCTTTAGCAGGCCCTACAAAGCTGGAAAGACGTCAGGTACTGGCTCAACAAGAGACTGTCTCTCCAAGTGTTAGTCTAGATAATAATGTACAGATCCCTATGTAGAGGGCTGGCCATGAGGATGGATTCTTTTTGGCCACAGCGACCCATGTTTACTAAGGCATGGAAGGCTTTTTTGTCTGTTTTTGTTTTTTTAGGCAAATTGGGGTTAACTGACTTGCCCAGGGTCACACAGCTAGTAAGTGTCAAGTGTTTGGTCTGAGGCCAGATTTGAACTCAGGTCCTCCTGACTTCAGGGCCGGTGCTCTATCCACTGCACCAACTAGCTGCCCCGATGGAAGGCTTTTGATGGGCATCAGTGGAGGGAGTACACACATTGATCCATCTTTCAAGTCTCAAAGTAAAAATAAAAAGGAAAAAGAAAGAAATCAAAATATGAATAATAGTTCAAGAAATAGCTATAAAACACCTTTTTTCCAAACTAGAACCCTTTAATTTTTAATCAGCTTAGCCAGTTTTTCCCCCCTTAAAAAGCCTTTTCCTTTAACTCAGCTAAATCAAATGTAGTATTTCTCAACTGTTCTTCTGCCCAACTGCAGCCGTTCTGGGACAGTTTCATTGTGGAGAAGAATTGTTTGATTAGACACATAAACCACCTGCAACAGCCCAATTCCCATTCCTTTCTCTTTATTGAATTTTGAACTCACTGTTAAGTCAATCAGCTATATGCACTGAGCATCCTCCTAGGGATGCAAAGAAAAAAAAATGTAATAATCTCTACTCTCAAGGAACTTAGCTGCTCCTGAGAAAAACTGTATTCACAAAATCTATACAAAGTAAATGGGACTATGGCTAAGGGAGGAAAGTACTTAAGGAAGTGGCATTTTGAAGGAAACTAGGGATACTTAGAAGTTAGAATAAGGGCTTCCATTCCAGGAATAGGGAACAGCCTGGGCAAAGGTGCTCAGAAGTGGGATAGGACATGTCCTGGCAGGCAGGCCTCGTGACCAACCAGATGGCTCAGTCCATGCCATCAAAGAGCTTTCATTCTAATGGGGGAACCAATGGGCACACATGCAGGAATATACAAAGTAGTAATCTTGGTGGGGGAGGCATTGGCATCCAGTGGAACCAGGAAAAGGGCCCCATTGATAAAGGCGGGGCTTGAGCTGAACTTGGAAGGAAGCCTGGGATTCTAAGAGGTGGAGGCAAAGTGCATTCCAAGGATAGCTGGTAGAAAGGCATGGAGATGGGAGATGGAAAATCTTCAGTGAGGAACAGGAAGCAAGCAAGGCCAGTGTTGCTGGATAAAGTACAGGATGGGGAGTAAAGTGAAAGAAGAGCTTTAAATGCCAACCAGAAGAGTTTCTATTAGATAGATGCTGGCCATAATAGGCATCAGTAGAGTTTAACGGGGGAGGGGGGGCGTGTAACATTATTGAACCTACACTTTAGGAAATTCATTTTGGTGGCTTTGTAGTGGATGGATGGATGGATGGATGGATTAGAGTGAGAGGGACTTGGACTGGCAGCTATTATAACAGTCCGTGCAAGAAGTGACGTCCTGACCTGGGGGTGGGGGGGAGGGTAGACATAGAGAGGAATCCTATACCCAGAATGGTCTAGAGGTAAAAATTGTAAATTAGCATATGATAAATGATTGAATGTGCGGGGTCAAGGATGACTAAGATTCTAAACCTGGGTGACGGATGGTGGTGCCCTCACCCCCCAACAGTGGGCTTGAGAGAAAGATAATGAAGAACATCATGTAGGCCATTTTGGTTGGAAAGAAAAGTGTATGAAGAGGAATAAGATGAAGTCCACCTAGAATGGGAGACTGGAGCGATGAAAACATAATCAATTATCCAAGAACATGTACCTCCCAGGGCCAAAGGAGGTCCTAGCTGAAAAGAGGAGATGCTACCTTACCAGGGCCATCTTAGAATGAAGTAGATTTGTACCCCAAGAAAAGGAATGGGAAAGTAAGCACTCTTCAGAGACCATGGTAACCTGCGGAACCACACAGAACAAAAGACTCTAGAGGACTTCTGGGCCATCTAGTTTAGAGTTTAGAGTTATTAGTAAAAGATCAAAGTAGCGAGCAGATATCAACTATTTGGTAAGAGAATTCTGCTTTATTTGAACTCTGGAACTGGGAAATCATAGCACTGGATAACTCCTCACATTAATTAATCTAGGGTGGTTATAAAAGGACTGGGCTGTAAGGCCTGTTTTCAGTTAATGAATACCCTCAGTGTGACAGTTTTTTTAGAATATATTCTCCCACTACCCTGCCTCTTTCCCCTACTGTCCCTGTTTTTTAATAAGCCAAAAATCACCAAGTTAGAGAGGACCAGGAAGGCTATCTAGCCTATCCCATTTTTGAACACAAATCCTCTCTGTAAAATACCCAGTAACTGGTCTTCCAGCTTCTGCATGGAGATCTCCAGTGAAATGGTGCCCAGTGCCTCCCAGGTTACCTCATTCCACTCTTTTTTAGGAAGGCTATACTATAGTTGTCTCTTTACAACCTGCCCTTTGGGACCAAGCAGGACAGTTAATCTAGTCCCTTTCCACATGGTAGACCTTTAGACATTTGGAGTCAGCTATCATGTCTTCACTAAATATGAAAGATTTTGGAGGATTTTGATGACTCCTCAATATTTACATGGCACCAAAATCACGGGGTGAACAAGAATCATCTCACTGGTGAGGCATCATGCTAAGAGCTCTGGCTTTGGAGTCAGAGAACCTGAGTTTTGATTCCAGCCCTGTTACTACCTGTCTGACCTTGGACAAACCCCATAACCTTCTCTGGACCTTAGTTACTATGTATAAAATGAAGGGGTTGGCTAGATGTTCTCTCTCATTTCTTCCAACCTGAACTTTGGGAGATAGAGTTAGACTTTAAGATGCCCTTGACAATGACAATTTATCCTAAACAATGAAGTTCTGTAGGAACAAATATAAATACATTTAGAGACAACCAATCCATGCAAATTCAAAATGAGGGAAAATTGTCTTACCAAAATATGGCAGAAAAGAATTGCTTAATCCGCAAGTAGAATCTTTATATGTGTGTGTGTGTATATATATATATATATGTGGGGTTAAGTGACTTGCCCAGGGTCACACAGCTAGTAAGTGTCAAGTGTTTGGTCTGAGTCCAGACTTAAACTCGGGTCCTCCTGACTTCAGGGCTGGTGTTCTATCCACCGCGCCACCCAGCTGCCCCCATAAGTAGAATCTTTATCAGCAATATAGTTCTGCTAGCTTTCAAGCTATCTTATCTGTCACCCACACATATATACTGGGAAACCTGAGTGATAGCATATGCTTTGGTACCTTATAGCTTTGCAGGTAACCCAGTGACAGGAAATATGCTACCCCAGCTCACTAGCTGGACTCTGATTGGAGTACCATATCCTGATGTCATATTGGGTTGACAGGGCTGATAAAGATTTTTAAATGTCAGGTATTATTTAGCGGGGAAAGGAGAAGAGGAAGGTTAGCACAGTTGTCTTCAAGCACAAAACAAGTAATTAAGATAGTGATTATATGGTTCCTACATCCCATAAAGACAGAACAAGAGTATATTAAAACTATGCCTTAGAAGATTTTATGGAATCTCTGAGTTGGAAGGGAACTCACAGGTCATCTAAGGTAGTCTAACCTGTACCTGATCAAGAGTTCCCCTCAAAAACATCCCCAGCCAGTAATCAGTCAGCCTTTGCTTGAAGATCTCTGGGGAGAGGAAACCCACTACTTTTTTTGCATTTTCATTTTGGACTGCCAAGATACACTCCTACTGAGCTTTGCAGTTCACTGAAACCACCTTGTCTTTTTTCAGACTGTTGGCTCAGCTATTCCCCCCCATCTTGCACTTGTCCAGTTGGCTTTTAGAACCTAACGGAAAGAAAGACTTTACATTGCTCCAAATTTCATCTTCACTGATATATTCTTGAATTTGGCCCATTGTTCAAACTGGTCAAGATTTGGTTCCCCACTTTGTCATCCAATGGTTAGGTATCCATCATAACTCTGTGATTTGTTTGTTTTTGTTTTATTTTGTTTTGGTGAGGCAATTGGGGTTAATTGACTTGCCCAAGTCACACAGCTGGTGAGTGTTATGTGTCTGAGGTCGGATTTGAACTCAGGTCCTCCTGACTCCAGGGCCAGTGCTCTATTCACTGCACCACCTAGCTGCCCCAATAACTGTGTTTTTTGCAAGTTTGACATGCATCCATGCCTTTATCCAAGCCATTGTTAAAAAAAAATATTTAACAGTATAAGGCCAAGGACAGATATCTGAGTCACTCTTATTAAAGACTACCTTCCAAGTTGACATCAGAGCATTAATAACTATTCTTAATATTCTGGCAATCCAACCAGTTAGAAAAGAAAAAGAAAAGAAACAAGGAAAAGAAGTGTTGAGCAACTCCAACCTTCTCTCCATCAGGTTTCCTGGCCCTATCCTTCCCTAAAGTAGTCCTTGCCATTCTTTTCTATTTCTTATTTCTACATTATACTTTTAAATTTATTTTTCTTGCTTTTTCCTTGCCAGCCTCTGCTCATCTTGAGCTTTAGCAAGCCTGATGCAGAATTTTGTGTCGCTTTTGTATTCATCCTCTGTTACTTGCCCTTACTTCCATCTTTAGTCCATGCCTTTTAAAACTCTTTAGTTGTTTGATGAGTTCCCTGAGTATCTACATTGGTCTCTTTAGATAATGTCCCCTTTCCTTTCTTATCCAAATAATGCCTTTTTGGATTTTTAGGTTTTCATTCTTGAGAGCTGCTCATCCCTCCTAAGTGACTTTCACTTCAGAATGTTAAGTCATGGAATCCTATCTACCCTTTCTCTGAATACTTTGAAATCTGTCCTTCCCAGATTGCAGGTGCTTGTCAGAATATTCCTGGCTTTCCTGTCCTTTGTCATAATGGTTTCCATCATGTCACCTCAGCAACCAGTTCCTTTGTGTTAGTCTACTCTTGGGTCACACTAATGCTAAATTCACAGTCCTTATCAACTTCTAGATTCAGTTACAACAGTCAACTGTCATGAGATAACTGTCAGAACAACCCTTTCATGTGAATATCTTCAGATAATTCTAAAGTCAGATAACTTGCCATTATATTTCCATGTAGAAATTCCTTATTTCTGGCTCTATGAATCACAAACATTTGGCTCTACAAAGGTGCAGTGTAATAGTGCTTTATGGGTTAGATATCTTTGTGACACTTAGGTGCTAACTCTCAAGTCTCTTTTTTACCTTTAATTTTTAAGTAGTTTTTCAGTAGGTAGGTCATAGCTGGGTCTATCCCGCTCACCTCCTTTTTGTTTCGTCTAATTTTAAGTAGGGTTGGACTGTGAAGATACTGAGAGCTCACTGCTGGACAGAGCTCTTGCTGTCCCCACTTCTGAGTCCTGTCCAATAGAGAAGCCAATATCTGTTCCATCTCCTCAGATGTCCACTTTGGAATCAGATAGCAGCTCTGCCACTCATCTTGTTGTTCCAACTTTTGAATCCCGATCATCGATGGAAAAGCCAGTATCAGTCCCATCTCCGTTGCCCACTGTAGAAACAGATAGCAGCTGTGCCACTCACCTTTCCGTGCCAGCCTCTGGGTCCTGGCCATCAGAGAAAAAGCCAAAGCCACCCCCTTGTCAGTTGTCCACTGTGGAAACACTTAGCAGCTGTGCTACTGCCTGTAATAGTAGCCCTGCTTCTCCAGGTTTTGCTACACCAACTGAGTCCCAGTCATCAGTAGAGAAGTGGATATCACTCCCATCCCAACTGCCCACCACAGAAACAGATAGCAGCTGTGATATTCACTGTTCTGTGCCAACTTCTGAGTCCTGGCCATCGGTAGAAAAGTTGATATCCTTCCCATCTCAGCTGCCCACCATAGAAACTGAAAGCAGCTGTCCCACTTACTTTGCTGTGTCATCCTCTGAGTCATGGTCACCAATGGAGGAGATGCCATTTTCATATCCTATTCCCACTACGGAAATAAATAACAGTAGCTTCGCTTCTCCAGGCCTTCATGTATGGCCCTCTTCTATGTCCCAGATACCAACAGAGAATTCAATGCTACTCCCATCTCCTTGGCTTCCTACTATGGAATCATATTACAGCTTTGCCACACGTAATATCAGTCCTGCCTCTCCCTGCCCTGCTGTGCTCACCTCTGAGCCTCGTTCATCTCTAGAGAACCTGATACCACCTCTATCTCAGTTACCCACCATAAAAAAATCTAGCTGTCATACCATCTGGAATAGCAGCCCTCCCTCTCCAGGCCTTGCTATGTCCACCTCTGAGCCGCAGCCATCATCTCAATTATCCACCATAAAAAAATCTAGCCGTCATACCATCTGTAACATCAGCACTCCCTTTCCAGGCCTTGCTTTGTCTACCTCTGAGCCTCAGCCATACCTAGAGAACCTGATATCACCACCATCTCCATTATCCACCATAAGAAAACCTAGCATTCGTAACATCAGCCCTTCCTCTTTTGACCTAGCTATACCCACCTCTGAGCTCCAGACATCACCAGAGAACCTGATACCATTTCTATCTCCATTATCCACCATAAGAAAACCTAGCAGTCGTACCATCCATAACATCAGCCCTGCCTCTGAGTCCCAACTATCATGGAAGAACCTGATTTCACCTCTGTCTCCACAATCCACCACAGAAACATCTAGCAGCTATTCCACTCGTAACATCAGTCCTTCCCCTCCAGGCCCAACCCATAACATTGGTATAAAAGGACAGGGAAGAGGTGATCTCAGGGGTTTGAGTGGCCCCCTGGCAGCACAGGAGTCCCAGGCCCAGGGCTCCTGGGATAAAGAACCTGCTCTCCGTTTCGTGATTAAGACCACTGCAACTGGAGCAACAATAAGCCAAAGAGGACATAAAATAGAATCACAGGAATCAGTGGGTTCTAAAATGCAGGTCAGCATAGGAGAACCCATGGCAGAGGTGAAGATACATGGCAACAAAGAGAACCAGAAATTGGCTAAGTTAGTAATAGAAGAAGTAGTCACAAAAGCAGAGAAATATTCTAAAGATGGAGCAAAAGGAAACAGCACTTTGAAAACATCTTATACTGAAAAGGGCACAGAGAGAAGGTACCTGTGATTGACTGGGATGCAATTAGACAGAGTCACCTCCAGTATATACAAAGCAAGTGGGAAGGCCTTCCTCCAATTAAGAAAGACTTCTATGTTGAATCTGCAAGGGCCAAATCAATGTCACAGGCAGAAGTCAATAGGTGGCGAAAAGAAAACAATATAATGTGTGAAGACTTGAAAAAAAATAAAAAACGAGCTATTCCACACCCCATTTGCAAATTTGAAGATATATTTGATCATTATCCTGAAGTTATGGACAATATGAAGAAAGCAGGTTTTAGCAGACCTACCCCAATTCAGTCTCAGGCATGGCCAGTAATATTAAAAGGAATTGACCTAATCAGCATTGCCCAGACAGGCACTGGGAAGACATTAGTATATCTGATGCCAGGCTTTATTCACCTTGATCTCCAACCAGTAGCCAGGGAGAAAAGGAGTGGTCCTGGTATGTTGGTGCTCACACCTACCAGAGAATTGGCTATCCAAATTGAAAGTGAATGTAAGAAATACACATATGGAGATACTAAAAGCATTTGTATATATGGTGGTAGAGACAGAAGAGATCAAATCGAGCATGTTACCAAAGGTATAGATATTGTCATTGCCACCCCTGGCAGACTCAGTGATCTTCAGATGAATGATTTCATCAGACTTAACAGCATAACATATCTGGTTCTAGACGAGGCTGATAAAATGCTGGACATGGGATTTGAGCCCCAAATAACGAAAATTTTATCGGATATACGGCCAGACAGACAAACAGTAATGACCAGTGCAACTTGGCCCGATGCTGTTCGTTGTCTTTCACAAAAATATCTGAAAGATCCAATGATTGTTTATATTGGCACCTTGGATTTAGCTGCAGTAAATACTATAAAACAAAAAATAATCATAACTACAGAAGAAGAAAAACGAGTTTTAATACATTCATTGATTCATTGAAGTTCGAAGATAAAGTAATTATTTTTGTAGGCAGAAAACTTATTGCTGATGATATAGCCAGTGACCTGAGCATCAAGGGTGTACCTTTGCAGTCACTACATGGTAATAGAGAACAGAGAGACCGGGAGCAAGCATTAGATGAATTTAAAGAAGGAGTAGTGAAAATATTAATAACAAGAGATATAGCATCACGAGGTCTTGATGTTCCAGACGTCACCCATGTTTTTAACTATGATTTTCCTCGAAACATTGAAGAATATGTCGACAGGATAGGACGTATGGGAAGAGCTGTACAATTGGGAGAAGCGATCACCTTATTCACTAAAAACGTTTGGAAAATTGCAGAGGAGCTAATTGACATCTTGCAGCGGGCCAACCAAGAAGTCCCCCAAGAGCTTGCATCAATGGCTGTGCAATATAGGCAGCATAAGCATAGAAAGAGGGAGGAAAAGTTAGCCAGATATAACAGGGGAAGAAACACTTCTAGATAATGTAGGTAACTTAAAAGCCCCCTTATACTCTCTTTAATAAAAATCAAAAGTATGTTATAAAAAAAACCTACTGAGTCTGACATCCTGTTTTCCCCCTGGTGATCATGAAACCATAAAAATTGTGTGGGATTGGGGGAGACGGGGTGGTTGAAAATGTGGGGGAAAGGAAAGAAAAAAATCATCCCAGGAATTCCAGTGCTTCAGTGGACTCTGCCCTCTGTATGTGGAGGTGGGAAGGGACTGTTCCCCCAAGAGTTCAAGATAAGTTTGAGCTCATCTCCTTGTGCTGAGTTGATCCCATAGGAATGTTATTGAACTAAATATAGTATTACAACATGTAATATAGATACTTTAGATAAAAAAGTAGAACATAAAACAAGGACTTCATGCTATCCAATAAAATGCACACAGTTCCTCTGGGAATTGAAAAAAGAAAACCTATTTCTGATTTTTATTAAGTTAGATAAGGGAAGGAACTTGCTTGAATGGACAAGGAATTAAAATCCTTTATATTTATTATTAACAACCCACCTTCTAGAGTACACTGATATGCTTCAGTGCCCTGAAAGCTTGCAATAACAAAACTGGCCTTCCGTGGACCTTCTTGAATCATTCCACTGAACATCTCATCAAATAGACGATCTGTTTATTGTTATACAGTGCCTTGTTTCATTCTGTACCTCTTAAAACATAATAGAACTCACTGCCAAATCTGGGGAAACCCCTAGAGCAAAGAATACCCTATCTACATTTGAAAAGTGGCAGCCCTTAGCATTTAGGACAGTCCAGTTCATTGGTGGGTCACTCCTTATCCAAAGGGTGCTAGCATCAGCTCAGGCCAATTCTGGAATGGAACTGCAATATGAGGTCTGCCTCCAGGTAAACCCAAGGATCAAGTTCAATTTGTGATCCCTCTGGCTATCCCAGAAAGGATCCAAATGAATTCCCCAAAAGGTCTCAGAATTAATCCATTCTCGCAGGAATCAGTTCAATTTGGCAGAGATAGTGCAGGGAGTTGGACCAGACTTTCTGGACTATCCCAGCTCTGGACCTGCAACCCTTAGGCTCTCCTCTTCCCTTGATACTCTGTTTATATTCAGGCCCTAACCCCTATTTTCCTTTCAGTATATCTTGTAAATGACGTTCTGCTATCTTCCTACTGCTCCCACTTAGTTTAGATCTTCATCACTTCCGCCTAGATTGATTGCACAACCTCATAATCTCTCCCTCTAGTTTCTCTCTCCTCTAAACCATATTGCATCCTACTACCACACTGTTCTCCCTAAACGACCACTTTTAATCAATAAGAAAGCACTTATTAAAGCACTTGCTACGGACCAGGCACTGTTGTAAATATTGAGGACACAAAGACAAAAGTTGAAACACTTCCTGCCCTCAGGGAGTTTTCATTCTAACAGGGGAGATAGCATGTACATATATAAGCATATATAGGTCATATACAAAATGAATACAATGTAGTTTTGGAAGGATCAACACTAGCACCTGGAGGGATCAGGAAAGGATTCATGTAGAATGTGGCCTGTGAGCTGGGCTTGGAAGGAAATCAAAGATTCCAAGATATGGGGATGAAGAGGAAAAGCATTCCAGACATGGGAAATAGCTAGTACAAAGTTATAGAGAGAGGAGATGAAATGTCATGTGTAAAGAACAGCAAGTAAATCAGTATGGCTGAACCATAGAGTACATGGAAGTACGTGGAGAGCTGATAAGAAGATTGGAAAAGTAAGAAGTGACCTTATTATGAAGAACTTTAAATGCCAGACAGAAGAGTTTATATTTGATCCTAGAGGTAATAGGGAGCCACTGGAGTTTCTTGAGTAGGGGTTTGACAGCAGGGGAAAAACATGGTCAGGCCTACATTTTAGGAAGATTACTTTGGCATCTATGTGGGGAATAAATTGGAATGGGGAAATAGTTGAGGCAGAGAGATCAATTGGAATGCTATTATAATAGTCCAAATGAGAGGTGATCAGGGCCTGATCTAGGGTGATGGCTGTGTGAGTGGAGAGAAGATAATATTATTGAGAGGGGATATGGAGACAGAAGTGACAAGATTTGATAACTGACTGGATATGTGGGTTGAGAGAGAGTAAGCATTTGAGAATGACATTGAGATCAGGAACCTGGGTGACTGAAAGCATGGTGGTACCCTTAACAGCAATAGGGAAGTTCAGAAGAAGGGTGTGTTTGGGGAGAAAAATTAATTCTATTTTGGACATGTTGAGTTGGAGTTGGCTACAGAATATCTAGTTTGAAATGTCCAATAAGTAGTTGGTAATGCAGTACTAGACCTATAAATATATAGATCTGGAAGTCATCTGTATAGAGATGATAATTAGATTCATAGGAGTCAATGAGGTCACTCATTGAGACAATGTAAAGAGTAAAGAGTGCTCAGGATGTAGTCTTGGGGGGGGGGGAGAACCCAGCAGCTGATGAAGATCAAGCAAAGGAGACAGACAAAGGAGATACAAAAGAGAGTACCCAAGAAGAGAAAGTAGTCGATGGCATTAAGTCCTGCCTGGATCTAAAAACCCTCTTTAATTATCCAATTTTAGTTTCTATTTGTGGTCTGTATAACATACCTAGAAGCTGGAGTTAGCAGTGGGCCTCCAGTTCAGGATGGGGGGGGGAGGGGGAGGGCGGGCCTTGAAGACTGACCAGCCCTGTAATGAACAAATCACTATAACGAGTGGTCTGCACTAGCTGATTGTGCCTTCATAAGTATTTCTTTCTTGAGTGAGGAAGGTATGTGTCACCAGATCTTGCCATTTCTCTACCCTCTGCTCTATACCCCAGAACAGAACATCCTGGGGTGCAAGAATGGCTAAAGAGTTGATGGGGTCTCAAGCTTTGCAAATCCTTCCTCATTTGCTATTATTAAGCTCCTGATATCTGTGGTGACGTTCTAAGTGGTACCTTTCCTTGCCAAGTCCTGAAAGCACCTTGTTGGCAGAACCAAAGCATCACTCTTCCCCAACATGCACACTTCTCTCCAGTCAGACAGGTCCCCTACTGTCCCACTAATGCATCATGTTCGTTCCTGCTTTGCTCAGAACACCCACCCAAACTCCTTTCTAAATTCTACCCATCCTCCAAAACCTAGCTGAAGTCCCACTTCTTCCATCATTTTCTCCTATACTATTGTAGCCTGTGTTGACCTCTCCCTTCTCTTTCCACATGTAGTCATGTGTGTCAGTCATAACTCCCCAGCTAGACCATGAATGAGTGAAAGAAGCATTTATTAAGTGCTTACTCTATGCAATGTACATTATGTTATATGAATATAATAGAATATTATTGTGCCATTAAGAAAAGACAACTAGATGAACCAATACATGGGAAGACATATGAGTATGTGCAGAATGAAATAAGCTGAATCAGGACAACAATATATACAAAGACTTCAGCAATGTAAACGAACCAAAAAAATGAAGCTACACGTTGTAATTGTAATGATCATGCTTGCAAGTGCAGAAGAAATAAAGGAATGAATTTCCCAGCTTTCACTCAAGAAGGGGCAGAACTATGGATATGGAGTATTTTATTTGCAGTCCAATGCATTCCTTGTATTGGCTGATTTTGCTCAGTTGTTTGGTTTTTTTGGTTTTGTTTTTTAATATTACAAAGGAAGG